CCCCCCCCCCCCCCCCCCCCCTGGCAGCCCGTGCTCCAGCGGGAGAGCTTATTTTTATCCCCAGTGCTGGCGTTTACACGCACACTTCCACGCCGGCGTCTTTGCCACTTTTTGTCCGTGGACGTCCCTCATTTGACCAGAGAATGAGGCAAATGTCAGTGGAAAGCCGGATCTCCTTGGGGAGCAGCGGCAGCCTGCGTGTGCCGTTAGATTTCAGCCACACGCAGAAGAAGCCGCCGCAGTCACACCAGCGGCCTCATGTATTTTTGATGCCGTCTAATTGAAGCCGGCTGTCGCCCCCCCCCCCCCCCCCCCCCGCCCCTCCCTCCTGCTACACCACCACAGGAAGTAACAGAACCCCGCGTCGCCCTTTTTTTCGCTCCCTAACTCGACCCCTCCTCGGCCTCTGGGCCGCCAGAATCTCTCCGAAAGCCCCGCTGAGGGTTTTTCTCTGCTCTCGCCCCCTCAGGGTTGGATCGACAACTTCAATGGGCCGAGTGGAGTCTTCATAGCCGTGAGTAGTCGCCTTCACCGAAACAGTGCCAAAACCCATGTAAGGAAGTGCCAGGAGTCCATAAAAGCGTCGTGTTGTTCCGCTGTCAGGCGGGAAAAGGCATCCTGCGCACCATGAGGGCCAACAACGACGCCGTGGCCGACCTGATCCCCGTGGACGTGGTCATCAACCTGACCGTGGCGGCTGGGTGGTACACCGCCGTGCACAGGTGGGCAAAGACTCACAAGCTGAGCGGTCAAGAGGGGAAAAAAAGATCATTCCAGGCGCTATGTTTAGGGAATATCTTTTATTTTTGTCTAAGGTTTGAGGAAATGGCTCGCTGAATGAATTAGTGATATTGATGCTCTCACTATATTGATCTTTGTTTTACTTGAAAAACAAAACACAAAATGGTAAGAGCAGATCTGATTGGTTAGAATTTGGGCCTCTAAGCACCGTCTGGGAAAAATTCCATTTTATAGTTAACAAGAGCACTTTAAAACAGGGATGGTGCTTTTATGACCTCTGTTTGCACAGGTGAATTGATAAGAGGCTTTAAACCTATCTGAAGAGGAATTCCCGATGAGCTGTTTCTCAAATTCAACAGTTGGGTCAAACTGATGATTCGCAGTTCGTGAAGTTCTTGAGATGTTTCGGGTTATGCTTTCTCCCTCATTATGACGGATGTTCTCACTGGAAATATCTTGCTCACTGCTGCACTATTTTATCACCAAAACTCAGCTGGTTCATATTTTCCAGAGTGGAAGGGATGTGGGAAAATGGGTTTCGGCTTCCCCCTTTTCAGTCTACTAAACTGGATTTCTTTCATCATCTCAAACGTAAACACTTGAATCAGTCTGATACTTATCTATTTCCTCTCCTGGCCTTTTATGAACAGATCATTTCCAGAATAGCCATTTCTAACTATTAACCACTGGAGTGGGAGGTGTGTTTGTTTTTTGTTTTTTAAAGGTTCTATTGACTAAACTGCATTTTATAGCAGGTTGGGGATAGTTAGACGTTATGCTGACCTTCCTTTCTCCCCCCCCCCCGCAGACCTAAAACAGCCCTGGTGTACAACTGCACGACCGGTGGCATCAACCCGTTCCACTGGGGGGAGATTGGTGAGTGTTGAACTGTTGAACTTGTGTAAACGTAACAGAGGCCTGCGGGCGGGTGTTTATGGACCCGCTTTGGCCGCGCTGACGTCTCTTCAGCGTTCACCCTCACAAATCAATGAGCTGGGACTGTGGTCTAATGGTGCTACTCCGTGGTGGAGCCCTGTCCCCGGCGGGGGAGGACCCAGATGGAGAGCAGCTGCCACCTGCTGGACGGAGGCCGGCGATGGAGGGGTTGAGATGAGATTTCTGAAAAGAGGAGGTTTTTTGTTTTTAAAAAACAGAGTTCAGCTGAATAGAATGGAGATGGTTTCAGGGGACCGTCCAAGTAGTACCCACTGACCACTGGGATAGGCTCCAGTCCCCCCGCGCCCCCGTTGGATGGATGGATGTGTTCGGGCACACTGTGGTTTTGGTTTGTAAGCAGAGCTAAGTAATGATTGTTTTTATTATCGATTATTCCAACGCCGTTTGTAAGGACTGTCGAGTTTATCTACAAATTCTGGAAATTTCGTTCCTGATCAGCAGTTCATAAGAATAAAAAATTTAAAAAATAGGAAAAATGGATTGAATGCAAAATACCCCAAATGCCCAAATCCTTGATAGACCTGCAGTGAACAGCATGTGTTAAATTCACAGCATCCCACTGCACAGAATCTCTTTTACTTTGGTGATTTTATTCATACTCATGGTTGCCCTCTGACTGACCGGATGTCAAGGGACCCTCAGATTAAAAAGACATGCTCCCTTTGTGGAGGAAATTGCTAGCAGATGGCCCTCGGCAGGATTAGACCTCATCACTGCAGCTCAGCATCATGGAGGCAGAGCTGGTGCAGATAAGGCTAGTTACAGAACAGTGGGATCCGAGGATAACACTCAGTGCCCCGTGAGGCAAAACCCAAAAAAAATTAATTTAATTGTAGGTGCATTATAAAAATTTCAAATAGATTAAACTAGTAGTATCTCGCTGTGTCCTCTCTCTCAGATTAATTTTTTTTTTTTTTTTTGGTACAATCGTCGCAGCCCCCAGAGAGCAGCTCAAGGTTAGCGAAGGTACTCCCGACCAGGCTGCAAGGATCCAGGCCACAGCTGGCTGTCACCCCAGATCTGGTCATCTCGGCCCCTGCAACCACCACGTCTGTTGCCATGGAAACAACCCCTTAAAAGGCCCAGATTGCGCGCTGCGCGTGTGTGATGTAATGTCTGTGGTCACATGGCTGGTCCTCTGTATCCGCGCAGGGCCGCTGCTGGATTGTGGGGGTGGAGCAGCGGGTAGCTGGGGGGGGTGGGGGGGTCGTGGAGTGACCGCTTTAGTGGTGCGATACAGGCCGACCCCGGTTCCTGGAGTGTGAGGGTTCTCACACGCAGAAACCCCAGCCTGTGTGCGTCCGTGTCTTTGCCCCTGTGTTCGGGATGGGCAGGATAAACCTCACTTTCCTGCCCACTGTGAGCACCGCGTCAGCCCCACTTTTTGCCTGCTTTACCCTTACGTAAGAGGCCCGGGGCTTAGCACAGGATTATCGGGAAATTAAATACCTACTGTTCTTTGAGGATTTCGGAAGAGATTTTTTTTTGCCTATGTCATTTTTCATCATCTGGGGGTTGAAAAAAAAAACATCCTCTTTGCAAGCTAGACTCTTTTAAGCATGAGCCAAAAAAAAAGAGTGTTTACAACTTGATCAGTGTGATGAAACTGTATTTTCTAATCAGCCCTCTGGCCCGTCCTGTCAAACAGAGCACCACGTGATGTCGTCCTTCAAAAGGAACCCCCTGGATCAGGCCTTCCGCAGGCCCAACGCCAACATAACCTCCAACTATCTCATCAACCAGTACTGGATCCTGGTCAGCCACAAGTTCCCGGCCTTCATCTACGACCTCTTCCTGCGCCTGTCCGGACAGAAGCCACAGTAAGAAACGGCGCCCCACGGGCTCCAAATGCGCGCCACGGTCGGCCGGTGTCGTGACCAGCGTCCCTTTCTCTCGCTGCAGGATGATGCGCATCTTCAACCGCCTCCACAAGGCCATCGGCCTGCTGGAGTACTTCAGCAGCCAGGACTGGGAGTGGGGCTCGGAGAACATCAGCATGCTGATGGGCCAGCTGACCCCAGAGGACAGGAAGGTGGGATTATCCTTACATCCGTTCGGGATGTGAAATACAAAATTTGTTTGAATTGGCCACAATGTCAAAAAAATCTCCCTATTTGTCAAAGGCACTGGTTAGATTCCAATAAGAAATAAATATAGAAAATGGCTCCCCGCAGTGAGTGGGACCTCGGCTAATAGCAGCTTGCGTTTGCCTTTGTGCGCCCTGGATGTTTGGTGTGATGGTGCGTTTGTTTTTCAGATCTTTAACTTCGATGTGCGCCAGCTGAACTGGCCCGAGTACATTGAGAATTACTGCCTCGGCACCAAGAAGTACGTCCTGAACGAAGACATGTCCGACATTCCCGCTGCCAGGCAGCATCTGAGGAAGTAAGTTGACCAGAGGAAGACGATGCTGATACATGAGTAAAGAGATGGTCCACCAGTGAATATCTGGCCAGATGTGTTTTCTGGGTTCCATTTTTTTTTTTTGCTTTAAGGCTTTCTTTCTTTCTTTTTTTCCCCCCTCCTTTCGTCTCCCAGGCTGAGGAACATCCGCTACACCTTCAACACGCTGTTAGTCGTTTTCATCTGGAGGGTGTTCATCGCCCGCTCTCAGATGGCCAGAAACATCTGGTACTTTGTGGTCAGCCTCTGTTTCAAGTTCCTGTCCTACTTCCGTGCATCCAGCACCTTAACCAACTGAGTCTTCCTCGCCTCCTCGAGCCAGAGACAAGCAGCCCTCGCCTTCGGCCAGTCAGCAGGGAAAACAACACCTGAGACTCAGACTGTGGACGCGGATAAGCCGGCCCCTCCTATAGGAGGGGGGCCGCAGCCGGGGCGGAGCGCGCACAACGAGGGGGGAAGAAAAAGAGGTCAACGAGCCATGACTTACCTGCTTAGTTTTGGAAACCCGTCATCTGTCCGTACACTGTTCAGTCAACAAAGCCCGTCCAGAAAAAGTGTCGTCCTTCATTTTGTACCTACCGTTTCCTTCAAAGTGGCCAATTATATATGCAAAAATTAAGTCTTTTGTGTGACTTCCACTTTCCTTTTCCGCCCTCTTAAATCTTCAGTATGTCGCCTTGCCCCGTGAGGATTTTCTTTTTGTCATTTCATCAGAGGAGGACAATTTCTCTACGGTTCTTTTAGGTTTTTTTTTTCTTCACTGTGAGGACCTCCAGCTCTTCTCTGTATGACACAGCTGATTTGGATATCTGTATTACGTCTTGCATCGTGTGCGTCTTCCTGCCTTTTTAAGATGACGCTTTGGGCTCGGCGGTGGTTAACCCTCACTTATTGAGAGCAGCCTTGATGAAGCTAAAATCCGGCCGCAACACGAAGCTCCAGGTTGTCGCTAAATTCTGATCACAAACAACAGCGTCCTCGTGTCTCCTGTTTGTCTGAATGCTCGTCCACTTTATGCCTGTTTGTACAGCAGTTTATACTGAGCTAAGTTTACTACTTTTACATCTTTATACTGGTGTCAGAGGCTAGGCTGGTGTGTTAAACTTTGGCAGTGTAGTATATATAAATAAGAGTACAAAAGAGTGAAGTTTATTTATATAACCTGGTACATATTGTACCTCCTAGTGTTCCTCAACATGTTCTAACCGAGCTTTCTCAGACAATTGATCGTCAAATCTTTAGCGCATTTCTCTCCAGGGGATTGAGATAGAATGAAAACTATTTGAAGGAAATAGGAATAGTCAGTTGTCAGGAGCGTCTTTTAGAGAGCTGTGATGCGTTTAGAAGAAGTGGGTCCACATAAAGCAGTCTGGTGTCAGATACTCGTGTTGCTTTAGCTCAGTCGGGGACTAAGCATGGAGGAAAGCAGTTCAGTGGAAGATTGAATTATGAGCTTGAAATATCAGACACAGTGTGAGTATCAGCTTAGACTGCCAGAAAAAACACCTAAAAAGGGACACTTTTTAGTTTATCAATTACAGATTCCATGTGTGCTGCAGGACAGAATAGGTCTGGTTGTTTCACTTTCTAAGAATGGATGGAAACGTGCCAACTTCTGGGTCAAAAATGCCCATAGTGATCTGGAAATATAAGAAAAACAAATAAGCTACCACTGTGACAGGATGGAAAATCAGTTCAAGAAAAACCCAGACAAGCTCAGAAGAAAGCAGCGCTCAAGCAGGGGAGGTGTAGACACGCCGGGCGGAGGGCGAGAGGCCGACGCGTTCGAACGGGCTGCAAGTTAGTTACATATGACTTTCAATAGGAGGAAAGGCGCGTTTAAGATCTCGCCATCATGAATATGAAGCCCAAATTCTCCTTCAGTGTGTCATCTGCGTGTGTCCGATCGCAACTGAGCCACCAGAAAGCGAGAAACAGGAAAACTTGTGGACCAAGTACAAAGCCATGTGGAACGCCTTGCCTTACAGGAGGGAGAAAATGCCAGTGGTATTTTTAACAGACCGAAAATCACAGTGCTAGGAAAGGGGTTCAGGCCTGTGGTTGAGACCCACCCGGTATCCTTTATCCCTGTTCTGTACATATAAACTACCAAAAACTTGTATTTGACTGTTGATTTTTTTTGCTTGTGTTTTCACAGGACCACAGAGCTTCCCTCAGTCTACCAAAAGTATTAAGTGTGACAGGCAAGTTGGATTTTTACTAACCCAATTAGGAACGCTGTGTCGTGTCGTGTGTGCCCTAAAGGTCGTCAAAGTAAAAACGACGAGCCTTTCCAGGAAACGAAAAAGGGACGAGAACTAAAACGTTTATGCAAAGCTCGCGTCTGTGTAATAACTTTGTTCACACAAGGCCTGCATGATGAAGCGTCTTCGTCAGGTTCCCCCCCCCCCCCAAAGAGCTACAGGGCTATTTTAACGCCGTTGTCCGCGTAGAGTTCTGCTCTTCTGTGCGTCCCGTCCGACAGCACTGTCGACATAAAAACCACCAAGCCGGAGCGAAAGCAGCAGCACATAACCACAGCCGTCTCATTCTCTCTGGTGTCATTTGAACATTTGTTTGACTACCTTGTGTTTCTCCTGCTCTGACAACACTTCAAGTCTGCTTGGCAAAATTGAAATAAACCAGAAAAACTAAAAAAACAATGGTTCACCTTCTGCCGCTCTGTTTTTGGGGGAGTTTCGTGGGAGGAAAATGAGAAGCAAGGTGGAAGTTGCCTTGAAGTCCAAATTTACTTTCCAGTGGAATCGACATTCAACAGGTTCTTTCTGGGCAAAAACTGCAGGACTTTCATTTTTTAACTCACAAATTGCAACAAAAAGCATGCTTTAAACATAAACTTTACACACTACGGAACACATGAACTGCTAACCACCTTTTTTTCACATCTTAATGTTCGGAAACATGACAGCACCAACTCCTCTTTAGTTTTAACCTCAAACAAGAGATCATCGAAATGCAGTCACACAGTGTCCATTTTTTTTAAAGTGCCATAATAGAGGAGGGTTGTAATGGTCACACTACCCCAAAATATTTTTCTAATAGCAAACTTTTCCAACTAAAAGTGAGGTGTCTGATCTTAATGTGTCCCACAAAGATGAGGAAGCTCTGAGAAGTCCACCTTTCTGGTGTCCACTGAAGAGAAGCTACTCATTGGGTGCATCCTCAGCCAGCAGAGGGGTCAGGTGGTTGCTCACATTGTTCATCTGGTTGTGTGGCTGCGCGTCCTGGAACAGGGCCGGTTAAGTCTGTTAGGTCTTCCATGCAGAGAGTCGGGTTCTCTCTGTTTGAGCAGAAATGTTGCAAAAGGGCAGGAAGAGAGCGGCTCACCTCCCGGGGCCTGTAGGCTCCCAGTCTGAAGCGACAGCAGACGATGTCAAAGCAGAAGCCGACAAAGCCGTGAATCATGCCTTTGAAAAAAAAGAAAAAGAAAGCGCTTACTGAGAATGTTTTTGAAGAAGACAAAAAAGGGCTTCCACCCCCCTCTACGGTGCAACATTTAATTGCGGGTTAAAGTGCACTTGCCTGTTGTGGAGAATATCCCCCCGACTATGCCGCAGAGTCTCACCAGGAACTGCCACAGCGGCATGTGCTGCTCGCTGACCGTCACCATCAGAGAGCTGGTGTCATATTTAACGAAAATGCCAGAGACGCCGTGGCTGCCGGCCGCGTGGTTTATCGCCCGCTCCTTCAAAAAACACACAGGGTTGCCATCGACCCCCCCCGCCCAGCCCTCCCTGAGCTCGGTGGGCCTCACTCACCCGCTCGGTCACAGAGAACTGGTGAGTGCTGGCAGAAATCTTGTAGGTGTTCAGTCTGGTGGGCACCACTGTGAGGAAGTACTGGAACATCTGGTTATCTGCGGTGGGGCGGATGGGCGAAAATGTCAGGAGCTGTGCGTCCACCGAACGCCTTTTGTTCACTAGGTGGCAGCAGCTTACTGTTGAAAGTGATTTTCTCCGTGCCGTCCAGAGGATTGATGATGCCTGGTATCACCTCGCCAAAAGACAAATGGTCTATTCTGTGGGAAAAGTTATACACTGCAAAGAAAAGATGGGTTCGATCACAGATGTTGGATTGGTTGTTTTTTGTAGAAATGGAATGGAATTACACTCTATGTCTACGCATCATATCTTTCCTGAATGAATGAAACTCAGCACTTGGGGGCAAATGGGACACGCGGGGACATTTTTATAACTCTCTGGATTTAACTTTGTTTTTTCCATAAGATGGCAACAGAAGCACACTGTGCAGCTGTAGCTGACTCACATTCGTGGCTCACAAAAGCTGCAATGTGCGCATGGCCTTGAGGATGGTAAATCGGCCTAAAAAGGACAAAAGTATTTACATTAGGATTAGAGCCCCTGAACACTGGATCCCAGGAGAGAAAGCTACAGCCTCTCGCTGGATCTGTTTGGGGCTTTTATAACATTAAAATCGTCTTACTTTCCAACTGTGATGTGTAGGTTTCCAGCCACTTTATTAACGTAGACGTGTCCATGAATCCTGCAGGCGTTGAGTGGCTCCGTTGGGTCATCCTCTCTGCGAACGTCATCGATATATTGATTTAAAACTTACGGGCTAGCGAGTGTAAACGGCACTCTGCACCTGCCGATTTGTCACTGACCGTGGAGGCAGAGCGGTAGGAGCTCCTCTCAGCAGCGCTTTGTACAGGACTTCCTGTAGCGCATGTTCCTCCCTCAGCCTGCTCTGGATGAGATGCAATGTCCTGTTGGATGAAGAGCAGATTGCAAAATTAGCCCTTTAGCCATGTGGCTGAAGCCCACGAAGCTAAATCAAGCAAAACTACAGGGAAGCCCGATATAAAACCGACGTAGACCCGTAAACTTTTCATCAGCTTACCTTTGCCAAGCTCTCTGTTGTGGGCTCAGGTCAAAAATGACCTGGTCAAGCACAAGCAGAGGTGAGATGCAGAAAAGATGAGCAGACTCTTAGAACACAGCACACAGCTCAGCACAGAACTGGAGTTCTGGGACGCGTGTCACTCACAGGCTCGTACTGCAGCCCGTTGGACGTGATCATTGTCTCAGCCAGGTCCAGAATGTCGGCGCCCACATCTGCAGACAGGAAACCCAGATGTTAACTGACTCGCATCGAGCGCGAAGAAAGCAGATTAATGGCTGACTCATCGAATGAGAAAGAAGGTGGGATGCTCACGCTGGCAGGTCATGGCCACCGTAATGTCGACGTTTATCCGTAGTTTACTAAAATCAAGACGAAAGGAAAATGATTTTCCTTTATTTTGTACGCATTAGCAATGTCACGAGATGAATTAATTCTCTGAATGACTGAGCGACCAGAGCTTACCTTGAAAAATCCTTGTCAACCGCATACTCGTACTTCATCCAAGTATCTTGATAAACAAAGAACTCAAAGACGGCCAGAAGTGCCATGGCACTGAAGGCTATGAGGGACACTGTGGATGGGACAGATGATCAGGGTCCGTTTTCTGTCGTGTTATCGTTGTTTTGTCCTTTATTTTGTAGAGGGTTTCACCTGTTCCTCCGGATGCCGATGTCTCCACGTAGCTCTCCGACACTTTCGGGAAGGCGTCCAGCTCCTTCACCAGGCTCAGAGCTTTCTTCCTGGACAGACGTCTCATCTTTAGGTTCATGGCTTCTCTGCACCTCCTCCGGCACAAATAAAACACGGGTTTTGTCAGTGGGTTCAACAGCTCAGAGGGGCAATGGAAAGATTCAAATAACACACACACACAAAAAGGATAAGTCCCAAAGTCCCAAGCCTCTGGCAGAGGACCTGAGTTTGAGAGGGCAATCACCCACAAGAAGGGCAAGTATGGGGTTTGTGTTAAAAAAAATTCTATTGGAACGATACCTTACCTCAAACTTTTCTAAACTTTTAAAACGTTCCAATTCTATCGTTTTGAAATAAAAACCTGAAGTGTTTTCATTTGTTGTGTCATTCAAAATGAGCTTTCAATGAAAATTTTACATTACTATCCATCCAATCCATTTTCTATACCGCTTGTTCCCCACAGGGTTGCAGGAGCCTATCGCGGAAAACACCAGGCGAGGGGCAGGGCACGCCCTGGACAGGTGACCAGTCCACCGCAGGGCCACACAGAGACAAACAACCACAGTCAATCCAAGGGGCAATTTGGAGTGTCCAATCAACCTGACATGCACGTTTTTTGACGGTGGGAGGATGCCGGAGAACCCACACAGACACAGTGAGAACACAGAAAAGTTCTGGTTCCCCCAGGGCCCTTAACTGGGAACCCTGCTGCCCTGCACTGAGGTCATTATGGTTGGTCATAACTATTTCCTGCACTTTCAATTCTGAACTGCTGAATATTCACACTAATCACTGCATATATAAAATTCCTTAATAGATCAGATAAACATAATCTCCGTACTTTAAAATACTTCTGAAAAGGACACCTGCTATTTTAAAAAGCAAAAAAAAAAAAAAGAATGAAGAATATCCATATTCATCTGGTATGGCCTCCCATGAAATGTATTTATATATAGGTATTAAAAATGCACTGTTGCCTTGTATCAAAATGATATTTTCTGCAATTATCCTTGTTCTGTATTGATGGTCAAAGCGTATGTTTACAAGCAGAAATATAGAAATAATGGGAAATTAGAATATTAGAACAATTTTATATAGAATTATACAATAACATAATTATACATTCATATATATGTATGTATATAATTTCTCATTTTAATTCTCTTGCAGTCAACGTACAAGACCGGAATGCCACATTGTACCGTAGAGTAATAACGACATTTTTTTTTTTTAATAGAAGAAGTTGTATTCACTGACATTTAACCGTCTCCTGAGGATGGATAGCTGTCACTGGTGATAAAGCCAACATTTACTCTTTATCTTACCTGTTATGTCATGTGGTTAGACGTTAAATTGAGCTACACTCTTGTCTGAAGCCTCGCTGACGCCATGCCTCACACTCAACCATTTGGCTGATGTTTGAACGACATCTGGATTTTGACAGATCATTGTCGCGAGGGGGAGACGGGGCGCGCTCGCTTCCTCCTCATTTGGCTACGTCATTACGTCATTACGTCTACGTGTGCGTAGCCTGTCGGCAAGCGACCAGTGCTCAGTTTGCAGTTTGGCTTTTCCGTCAGGAGATGACGCCGTAACACTAAATCTTCTGCAAATTTCGACGCAGGACAATAGATTCAGGTTACTCTGTAATTGTCATTATTTGTTGGTATTTAAACATAGCACGTTAAAGAGAAAACCTTTGTCTTTCCTTTCTGTCATTGCTAATTCAACTGAAGACATAAGGTACTCTAATTAATGAGTGTTTTGAATGCACTCGAACTTTTAAGTTTGCTTTGACGATTCTTTTTTTTCTCTTTTTTTAACTCTTTACAAGAAAAAAAAACACTAAATGGAATTTGTGCACAGATAAGATGTTCCCAAACCTGAAAAACTGGAAGGGGGGGGGGTCTGGATCTGGGTTTGCAGCTTGTCATTTAAAACAAAAGCCATGCACTGCCACTTCTGGCATTTGATCCCCTGCATTTCTTGACATTACAGAACAAAGGTGGATTAACTATGAATAGTACAGGGATGTGCAGACATGTTCAGTCAAATGTGGCAGTTTGTTTGTCACTGTCATAGGGATGATCCAAAACAAGTAAAGAGCAATCTGGGGTTTTGTTATGGGAGGAGGTCCAACACTCTGCAACAGCCAAACTAGTCCGATGATTTCAACCTGTTCAAGCTGTGGTACAGTTGCTCCAAAAGATGTTGCTATTTCAAGAGAATATGAATCCCCTAGCATTAATACATTGAAAAAAATTATATTTTCCGTTTTATAATATTTGTGCGGAATCCCAAGATCAACATAGAACTTAGGATAGTTCTAACTTCACTTTCATTTGAAAGTTAAGTGCCATGCTTACAAACATTTGCAAGGTAAGCCGACTACACTTCTTTACTGAAGTTGAAGACAGCCATCCATCAGCAGTCACACTAACTCATCTTGAGAGGCCCTAACCTTCACTCACAAGTGATAATTAACTTCCAGGAAGAGTGTTTATGGAGTGCTGTGGATCTGTGCAGCAGACTTGAAGTTGCCCTGCTCACACTGTGATGATGAGCCAAAACCTGATGTGAAGAACAGATAATGATCTACTACAACGAGGCTGCTATTAACATCCCAAGGACAAAGGACATATTTACATCGTGCTGCAGGCTAAAAATGCAGCAATATATAAAAAGGAAGGGGGGGGGGGAAGCTCAGGCCTAGATCTGCAGATGAATCACATGTGTCTTCTGTGCAGAGAATGCTCAGGAGTCTCTGCATGCACCAAAGCTGCTTGCCTATGCAGAGCAGCACAGATGGGCGTGTGGGGGGGGGGATGGGTGCTGTCAGCCCTCAGATCAAGCTGTGGGTCGGGGGTCCCATTGCTATTCACCACGCTGGCACGTAGGGGTTGTCAGACATCCTCCGTGGAGACGTATCAAGTCTTAATACTGTCCTCTGAGCTGCTCAAGTTCAAAGCGGTTCATAATATTTTTTAAACTGTGTTAACGTGCAGTGTTAGATTATGCCACATGTGTTGCTTTCCTGAGAATTTCATATAATTGTTTCGGTTACTTTTGAGTCAGGTCTGATGTTCAAATGTATTCAGTCTTGCGATTGGTCAAATAAATTTTTACAAATAATTTGACAAAAAAAAATGTTTTCCTTCATATTAGCAACTTGGTTAGATACACTATGATTTTGATTGCCTAAGAATGTTACCAAGAGAATATGTTTGCATGCATTTATTTGAGTAAAATTAGGATATTTTGTGAGGTTTTAAACTATAAATTGAAGTATCATCTTAACTTTGGAAATACATACACAAATTAGATTTATCAAATAAAATGTACACAATGTAACATCAAAAATATCTGCTGGCGTACTGTCAAGTGTCTGAAATATGTACTTATGGGAGATTGCTGAGCGCTGGGGCATAGGTTCAACGAGTAAGGGCAAACCATGTTTTTCTACACTTCAAAATGAAGTGTAGGCATAAATAACAAGTGATCATCATAGAGAAAAACAGAATTGACCATAAAATGTTCTTTAAAAGCTAATCGAATTTGATTATTATGAATGAGAAAAACCTAGCAAGAAAGACATCACTAACATATGCTAACATTTTATCAAAATGGGATGAATGATATTGATACAGACACAAATGAACACTTGTTTTTTGTGTATATGATTATAAACATAAAATTCAAAGCATAAAATATTGTTTTGATGTTCAGTTCTAGGTTTTCCCTTTTTTAATTTACACATCCTTGTCTTTTTTTCATTATAACTCCAAAATTGAGATATTTACAAAATAATCCTATATATATATATATACTGTACAATGATAATAGTCTAAAAAATACCATTATGTAAATTGTATTTTGGGAGATAGAAAGTTTGTATATTGTTGATGCCCCCACACAACCAGATGGAAATGAATAATTTGGAAACTGACGTCAGAGGTGGGATTGCCTAGAATGGCGAAACTCGTGAGCGCTCGGCTGCCCCCTCGGGTATTTCCGGATAGTGGGTTAAATCCCCGCCTGCTTCATTCCTGCGTTGTTTGGGGACAGTAGGAAGATGGCGGCGGCCCCGCTGTACTGTGTCTGCCGGCAACCTTACGATGTGAGCCGGTTTATGATCGAGTGCGACATCTGTAAAGACTGGTTTCACGGCAGGTACGTAGGTTAAGATGTCCTTAATAGACCTAGTTAATTCAAGGCGACGAACACGGATTGTTTCTTGAGGAAAAGCGACGACTATATGAGCGTTGAAGACTGGTAGCTAAGTTAGCTTGCTAACGTTAGCGGTGGGCGACGGGGGTTTTAAACCGTCTATTGACACGACTTAACGTACGAAAGTGCGATTTTGTTTTCGTAGAAATCGACTTAAAATTGACTCAATGTTCCGCTGACGGGTCTAAAATGCACAACTTGTGACTGTTCTTTTTGCTTGTCATGATAATTGTCTCTACCGACGAACAAATAGTAAATAGTTTGATAGAGCTATTGCGGATCCGTGAAGGAGGCAGAGCTGTGTCAGTCAGCCCGAGAGATCAAAAGCTTAGCGGGGTCATCGTGACACACAAAGCTCCCATGTTTACCCCTGCTCATAATCTTTGCAGAGATAAGTTAGATAATGATTTCTCCCCGATTCAATGTATTAAGAGGCAGACATACTAGTGGTTTGTTTGTCAGTGAATCCAAGCTTGCTGTCTGGCTCACCGGGTCAGGTTATTTAAGGTAGAAGTTAACGGAACTGTCACGTAACAATTTTATTTCTGGGTATTTAGACACAATCTGTGTGTGTTCACAAACACACATACATGTATACACACACTCACACATACATATTTATGTATGTATGTATGTATGTATGTATGTATGTATGTATATATATATATATATAGTTTTGGGTAGTTGTCCCATGACTGCTTATTGTAATGCAATGACATTCTTAATTGCTTTTTGTAAATTATGTGCATATATATTTTGTAATTTTTTTGTAAAGCCATGGCAGAAAACTCAAGATTGTTATGGTTAGGCTTTTAACAGCTGGAGAAATTTAAATCCCTCTTTTAGAAGAAGCACATGGCAGAGGACCCCTAGTGGTTGACAGGGGGATGATTTAAAGGTACCAGGCACCCGTATGTCCTCAGATCACTTGAGGACTTTTTGTCCTACTTTCTCTTTTTATTTCTTAACCTTGTAACTGATTTCTAGTGGGCCACTGTCGTAAGCTATGTTTTTATGAGTCATTATAGGTGTGGGCATTGGCTGTTGAAACCATAACTGGAATAGATTGTGCAACATGACCATGTGGTGTTTCTTCACATTTCTCAAAATGTGTCACGTCAGTCGTATCTGATCTTGTAATGCACGTCTTGATCTGACGAGCTTCGGGACTTTAAAGTCCAGACTATCCCGTTTAGATCTACTGTGACTAGGTGACCCGGTTAACTGTGCAGGATTAAATAAGGTCAGGTTAGACCTTTCAAGCTAGGCTGGTGTTTACCTTTATAAACTTTCTCACTGAGATGTTCGACTCTATAAAATTAGCACTTTTTTATCTTTCCGGCCCCAAGGATGACCCTGACAATTCATTGATTCAAGCTGCGTGGGTGTATCTCCACAGCAACTATTTATGAATACAATAATCTGTTTTTGCTCATGTTGAAATGACGGAGGCCATTGCGTAACCACATTAAGCATACTGCCAAGGTCTTGGCAGCCAGAATTTGTGGCGTATCGGAGCCAGAAAAGACTAGCTGTGTGTCATGTGCCAGCAAGAAAACGAACAAACATTGGAGCTGCTATCGTTGATGACTAATAAGCAGAAAATCACGGAGTGAAACCCCCCCCAAAAAACAGCCTCATTTCAAGACTCTTTCCCACGAGGCTGGCCAGAAGGAAAGGGATATTCTCTGGCTGTGAATGATGGCACGCAGATGGAGTGGAAAGGAGAGGAACTCAACCTACTGGTGCCTGCTTGTCAGTGCACTGACTGAGTTTGTGTGGGAGATTTTTTGTCCCGCTGCCTCCGTTTCTGGAGAGTGCCCTGTTTTGCGTTACTTGTATCTCAGGATATCAGAGCACAATGCAGGCCGGGACTGGGAGATGGCGACAATCAGAACTCTGTGGTTTATCAGACCAGTGAACAGTGAGGTAACTGTGGAGGAGAAAGTGTGCATTTGACTTGATAAGCACTTTTTGTTCACCACCATACTATTTTGATCACAGGTACCCACACTGCTTATCCTGTCAAAGACTTAAAGGTTTTGCATATGCTTGTTCTGAAATACTTTATTTTAAACGTGTGAAAATGTGACTATTTTATCCCATATTGACGGGTGAAAACAAAGATATAACAGACAAGTTACAGAGAAAAGCAAATATTTTTTGTTGTAGAAATGTTTTTCAGTCTGTTATCCAGTTACTCACCTTCTGACCCCATTGGTTTATTTTGCTCTCCCTTTGGGAGTGTTCTGGCTGTCAGGTTTTGTAACACTGCCCCAAAGGGCTCTGCAAAACACTAAAACCCACTATCAGACTGTGTAGTTCGGACAGCAAATGTTACATTGGACTGCAATACTTGCCTGTCCGTCCTAATGGACAGCTATACTTCCAGCATTTCATGGATGCCGACTTATGTTCACGCTGTGGATGTTCAGGTGGGTCCTCGGTGGGTCAAGTCAGATCACAGTGCTGATGTCGGGCACCCCAGTCTGCCCCATTGTCTGATTTAGGTATGGACAGTGGGGGTGATGATAGACCAGTGGAGCGCGGCGGAACATAAGGAGTGATTGATGGGAGCCCCAACGAGCCAAGTTCAATGCACGATCCGTCAATGTCGCACAGAGTGTGAGCACACTAAAGAGAGATGGATAGCCTCTACAGAATGCTGTCTGTGTTTACGCTAACTCAAGGTGTATTTATCTTTTCTTTTTTTTTAACTGGTGTTATCCATGATTGAGATGTTTTAGATCATCTACATCTGATAAGTTAATTGGCCAAACTAAATAGCATAGCCAGAGTTCTTGTTAAGAGTTGTGTTTACATTCATTGATGAAGGCTGTCTCCTGGGGGCAGGGGCAGGGAACAGACCTACTTCTACCAGGATCAGTGTTGACTAGGGGTCAAGAGCCCACTTATTGATTAACTGTCAGTGTAAATTGTAAGGTTGAAGATATAAATCTCTATTAGAGTGCTAAGTTGATTTTGGATGTAAACCAACCATCTCCAGTCCTGCTTTAATAATCCATGTTATGCTCAGGAAAAAATATCCATCCATCCATTTTCTGGACCGCTTATTCCCAAACGGGGTCGCGGTAGGACTGTGGCCTATCCCAGTATTCAATGGGCGAGAAGCAGGGTACACCCTGGACGGTCTGGCAGTCAATCGCAGGCCACACAGAGACGAACAACCACACACACTCACAATCACTCCTAGGGGCAGTTTTGGAATATCCAAAGGAAAAATATTCCTCTTGTAATTGCTGATTTTTTTCTGTTTAATAACTCATGAACACACATGGTGACAGGATTTTGTGACCAGGCCATTGAGTCTTTTTAGTTGGGTTCGGTCCGACTTTGTGGGCTGATATATTCTAGAACAGGCATTCACAAGAATTATGACTTTGTGGGTTTTACTGAGGCACTGGGGGGCAACCATGTTGAAGACATGTGTGAAAACAGAGCTGCTGCACTTGGAGCCTGAAGGCAGCTCAACCCGCTCCAGAAACAATTAAGTTGTTAAAACTCCCCACGGCTCCCTGACGGCCTGTAAACAACAAAGCGATCCTCTTTTGTTGTTCACCAGCTGACTAGAGAGAGACCCACAGCCTCTGTCAAACTGCAACCCCTACAGGGGGGCTATGTTGGTTTTATGGCAAGCTGGCCAAAACGATTTGACCAGGTAGGCCAAAGTGACAGTTCCTTATCTGTCTTTCAGGCCTCAGTGGCTCTTACTGCTCCCCACATCCTGTTCTGTATGTTTGAAAGCATGCTCTGAGTGCATTAGGAGGAGGACCAGAGGAGTCAGGTGCCCCTCTAGGGTAGATAAAGATAGCCAGGTGTTGTTTAACAGCCCTCATGTCCCCTCTGTCTCTACCTCTGCCACCCATCCATTAGGAATCTGCCAGTTCCCTAATGTAGGCGTGTCAGCGCCCCATGCAGAGCGGTTATTTAGAGCTTAAAATAATGGTGACGCCCGCCTCCAGCCTTTGTGTTTCTGCACTGATCACTGAGGACAATGAACCCCTCACAGTGCATGGACTAATGAATAAGCCCTCTCAGTCACACAGGAAGGAGGCCCTTGATGAGAGGAAGCGGAGGGAGAGGGGTTGTTGATGGCCAGGGGTTTAGCCAACTACACACACATCTCGTCTCATTCGGGAAAGGATGTTTGTCTTGGTAATCTGCCGCGGTGCAATCAGAGCAAACCAGTAGTCGGGACAAGGCGTGGTTTGGTTTCATATCTATATAGGACCCATTGGCTGTGCGTTGTGCGGGTTTGTCCGTCACACATGGTAACACTAATAATTTATGGCCAGTTGGGCCATATGCAATCCCGGCTGGCGCTGCTTCCTTGCCAAGTTAAAAAAGGAACACACAGGTTGAAGAATTGTTTGGAAGCTCACCAACTTTTCAGTGACAGAATGCTTCAGCAAGCCCGAGCAAGGTGGGACATAGTTTTGTTTTAGCCGAGTTCAATTGCATGCTACGTCCCGGTTTAGCTGATTTTCACAGGTCCAGTCCCTTTTTTGGATAGGGATCACAACAGGTGATACATATGCAACAGCGCCCTCAGGTCCTATTGTTGTTTTGGATAAAGGGAACTACCAAATGCAACAAGAACCAGGGAGATCCCTCACAGTTCTCAGCAAACCAGGCTACAGAGAACATTGACTCATGGTTTCCCCTGCAAACCGGCACATGTTTGAACAAAGATTCCTGACACATGAACAGAGCCCTGGTATTACCGCCAAGCACCGCAGTGTTATTGCTGGTCATCCGCTCACTCACGTGCAGGAGCAGGAGGGCTTCTTTTAGCCTGTCCTTCTTTAAGTGTTGTTTTTCTTTTTCTATAATTTTTTTAATGAATGTTAGAGGTAGAATAAATAGATAAGTCTGACAAGCTGAAGAGCTCTGAGGCCACAGGAATACTCCATTAGTTCATCTGTAAATCTACTAATGTGTTTGTTCAGTTAGCCACTTTATTATTGCTGCAACTAAATGCAGGTTCTGGCCCTCGGGCCAGCTTCAGCACGGAGCCGTGGCAGGTGTCGGCGTGCTGGTCTCCTTCAGCGTTTGTCTTCGCTGCGGTTTTATGCGAAGGGGAGCTGCTGTTCATACGGTTGATGCATCCTGTTGGTGCAGCAAAGTGAGTTGGCCCAGCATTCACACGAGCGCACCACTTCCTGACGAGTTAATGGCCCCTAGTTTTATTTCCTACACCGTTTCCTGTAACTCCTCGCAGATCAAAGCTGATAGCTAGCCGCGGTCAGCTCCATCGTTCCCGCTGGATTTTCGCCTTTTTAAAAACAGACCTTATATCAGCAGAAACACGTTTGGACCACAGGTCCACTATCCGCCGTCCCAGGCATGACGATCTCAGGAACGCAGACGATTTTGTGTTTGAAATGGGCAAGGGTTAACATCACTGCGTTTATAGTTATACTTTGGATATGATTGATAATAGTGGGATGGTCCTATGGTGCTATGATGTTCTGAGGTTGGTTTCTTAATGAGCTGGGTTGGCTTCAGCTTTGTGAGAAGCAGTGTCATCACACACGTCGCCTAAGTTCACGATCCGGACCCGGTTGCCGTTCAGCCCATGCTGCTCTGTAGAGGGGCTCTGGTATGCAGCAGAGGAATGCATGTGCATGTGGTTTGGCTGCTGCAGGACTCTCAGGGCAAGCTCTGTGGGTGGCAATGTCGCTGAGTCATCAGCCGTTCATATTGACCTGGTTGGTCTGTTTCTCACCTTGTCTCTAAGATAAATGTATATTTTAATTTTATCTATTTTTTTGCTCACTCGGGAATAATGGTGTCAATTATTGTGAGGAGAAATCACCCATCAGTGAGCCTCACATTTCTGGTAGCTTTTTTGAAAACATGCCAACTGCTTGTTTGACATCCGTTTTAAAAAGTGGGAAAGATCATGTCCTTCACATTCTACATTTCTAAAGTCACAGCATTTGACAGCATTTTAGCTGGGATGTTTTTAGTTTAACCAGATTAGTTTGAGATGATACGGAAAAAACGTATCGTTTTATTTTTATTTCAGAGCAAACTTTGTGACACGAGTTGGACTTAAGACATTGCTAGTTTCCAGGCTTTATTCCTCTTCATCATAACTTTTGCTCAGGGTGTTTTAGATAAACAGCTTTGTTGCTGCTTGCTGCTGATGTATGATTTTTTTCACAAAGCAGTCACTGATTTTGCTGTAAACTGAATCGTGCACCTCTTTGGTATGTTTGTATAACTCTTGTATCATGTCCTTTTTTTTTTTTATGCGCCAAATAAATTAATCCGCTCTAACTCTATTCCTCCTATATTTGTTCAGCTGTGTACAGGTAGAGGAGCATCATGCTGTGGATATTGATGTTTACCACTGTCCCAACTGTGATGTCACAAACGGACCCTCCCTGAGTGAGTAATGCTCCTAACAATAGTGCACTTCCTTTGCTATTGTCTCCCATCTCCTTCCCTCTGTGTTAATGTTGTTACAGCCTGGCCTGGTCTTACCTTCCTACCACCCCAGTGGTCAACTGGTTCGGAGGGAAAAAAACTGTCTCTTTTTAAAAATTTTAGAGGTTGAGGGCTAGTTTAACCTTTGAGGACAGACCATAACTGGCTAATTGAATGGAGTTGTAAACCCTCCAATTTGATTGGACAAGCCCCTCCATCTCCTGACACAGGGGTTAAGTAGTGAATTAATGTCCTTATGAGAAGTGATTGTAATCTGCGTAATTGACTGCGTTTTTGGGAAGGAAAGCGCCCTTCAAGCTTGCAGCGATGATATGAAGCCGGTCTGTTGTGTTGCAGTGAAACAGCGGAACAACTGGCACAGGCATGATTACACCGAACCGGACAACGGATCGAAGCCGGTGCAGGCGGGCACCACGGTGTTTATCAAGGAGCTGCAGAGCAGGACCTTCCCCAGGTAGATTCCCACACTCAGCATGCCACAGTCAGCTCAGCCTTCCCTGACCTTTCCAGGAAAGACTTTTCCCAAGTAAAATGTCTGACTTTTATTTTGTTTTAGGAATTGGATGATTTTGTTGAAGGCTTTCTCATGTATTTTGATTACACTTTAAAACATTTCCTAGAAGTTTGCAATTTCATCGTGAACCACTAAAGGTTTTGGAGGGAAAAAAAATATGCGGTTTTTTTTTTACCATTATCTACACGAGCAAATAAAACTAAGACTTTTATGGCTGAGCTGCACTGATATGGTGGTTGAGAGCAGATGGCTCATGTATTTCACAGTTTTAATGGACCTTTTGGGATGTTCTTTGCAGTGCAGAGGAGATTATAATCCGAATGAGGGGTGAGCAGGTCACTACCAGGTACTTGGAGAGACATGGCTTCAACTACCCAATAGCAGTCACCGAGATGGAGGGCCTGGGCCTGAAACTACCCCCTCCTACTTTCTCCGTCAAAGATGTGGAGCAGTATGTGGGTAAGGACACTTGGTACTAAACAGACTTTAATCAGGGGTGAAAAACAGTTGTCGTCATCTGTATCAAGTTTACCGCAGCACATTAGTGTTTACCCTTTGGGAATGATGTGAACTCCATGACTGAGTGCACAGTAGCCCTAGTTTGCCTAAAAGCTAATGAAACGACCCCACACCAGCCAGCTAAGTGGCCGTTGCTGAGCAGGCGCCATCTGTGTGCCAATTTGAGCAAGTTTCCAGGTTCATGGGGTTTTAACCTACTTATCTGACATTGGGCGATGGCTGAATGAGTTTTAAATGAGGGAGGGCTGAGCTTTCATTGGCCTTTCTATGACCACAGAGCTCCCCTTGCTGAAGCAGCCTGCCACTTCCCAGCTCCTATTACAAGCCCATTACCAAGCCCACTGGTGTTTTTATCATTAAGTTCAGATTACAGACTCCGTTCCTCACTTTATCTCTTACTCCTATGCCCTACTGAGCATTAAGCCAGGGCACAGGTGTTGAGACAGGGGACCAAGTGTCAGGTTGCATTTCTTAGCGTTGGAAGACAATGGGACAACTGGAGAAAATGCCATCTTCTGCAGCTGGCAAGGGTGTCTTAAGTATTTGTGCCGCAGACTTGGTGTGTGGCCACAGATGGATCACATTGTGGAAGAACTCCATGATGGGGGGTCAGTAAAGGCCTAGCTGCTTCTAATCCTCGATCCTATAGTGGTGGGAGTGGGGACACAGCAGCACTGCATTGTGTGGTATGCGTTAGTAAAGTTGTAACAATGCTTTACGGCCTGTTTGGTAGATTTTGGATTAGCTTCTTTAGAGAGATTTTTTATGCAAAGTTAGCATAACTGTATTTTCTTCACCATTTGTATAGTAAGATTGTACAATCTGTATATTGCACAACCAGCCAAGCTGATGATAATGCTCAGTCCCACTATGTTGTGTTAAAAGAGGAGGTTTATGGTCCCGGCAGTTTGTCCAAGACCTTTGCAACACTGAACCTTAATAAATTAGCTCTTTAATTGTAGGTACAACAATCTATCTCTGGGTAAGGACGTCGGCTTGAGTCTGAGAAATGTACACAATCTGCAGCCCAACTGCACAAATTCACAAAGGTTTTTTTCCTTTGGTGTCGGGTTTCTGAAGCTGGTGTTTGAGCGTCCTGGCAGCTTTGTCTCACTGTGCCACAGACTGCTTTTACTCCAGCTGTTCTCTGTCATCAGACGCTGGCCAGCTGGGCCCTCAGAGGTGTGTGTGCGTACGTGTGTGTGCGAGAGAAGTAATAAAAAAAAGAAGGTGTGTGGGAGGGGTGAGGGGGAAAATACAACAACCAGCTGTCTTGTTACACACACACGCACAGACGGGCTGTATGTCGGTTCTACTTCCGGTCCCATGTCTCACCCGCGTGTGATTTGTGGCGTCCCAACTGTTTCAAACAAATCTGTTTCAGTTTCTTTTCCCTTTTTTCTCCCCTCTCTCTGTTTCCTGTCTCATATGGGTAAACACACACACACACAGCCCCTGCTCGCTGTTCTTCTCGCGTCTATACGAGTATGCCTGTATATTCTGGAGGTCTCCCAAGCTCACCCTGGCAATGAATGCAGCAGCCGTCTCCCCACCGCCCACTCCCTCTCCGCAGAGACTGGTGGTCTGGACAGATTGACAGATTGTTTCGCTTGCATCCCCTGCAACCCCTCCCCACATTGCCATATTGATGCCAGTTTCCCTCAGGGCGGGATCTGTAAAAGCATAGGGAGATGCCAGCAAGCTGCTGAGCCCTTTGAACCCCCAGCCCACTCGGCGGCCAATTAAAAACGTTATTTTCCACTCAGATTCGGTCAGCACAGAACTTCTCCTCTGACGTTGCACAAGCTAAAGAGCCCCGAACTTCTTTCTAGGTGGTGACAAAGTCATCGACGTGATAGACGTGGCACGCCAGGCAGACAGCAAGATGAAGCTCAGCGAGTTTATTAAGTATTTCACCAACCCAAATCGGCCCAAGGTCCTCAACCTCATCAGCCTGGAGTTCTCTGACACCAAGTAAGATTCACAGCCGACTGTTTTTCTCCTGTAATTATGGATGATTTGTCTTCAGCTATGTTAATGTTGAGTTCTTGAATGTAACAGTTTCTTTTCATTTTGGTGTCATTAGTTGAAATGAAAGTTAAACACAATTTTAAGCCAATTACAAGGTGATGGAGTGGTGACATGTCAAGCCGGCATTGTGTATCTCTGAGTTGGTACTTGTGTGAATGGTGTGTTTGTGGAGTCTAAATCTGGGACTCTGCAGTGGCTTTTAACAGTGTGACAGCACTGCTATCTGTAATTACTGTGCACTGTTGACTCATAATCTCATAATGTCGCTGCCGCCTGTAGGATGGCAAAACTGGTGGAGGTTCCTGACGTGGCTCGGAAGATGTCCTGGGTAGAAAACTACTGGCCGGATGACTCATTCTTCCCCAAGCCCTTTGTCCAAAAGTACTGCCTTATGGGGGTTAAAGACAGCTACACAGATTTCCACATAGACTTTGGAGGAACCTCGGTCTGGTATCATGTTCTCTGGGTAAGTGCGCGTTTGTTTTTTTAAATGGCTGAAACCAGACAGAAAAGAAATCTCTCAGAACCTAACGGGGTTGAATGAACTGCTGTTTGATGCGTGACCGCGCTGGCCTGACGCCCACCAGGCCCGCCGAGTCGCTGGCTCACTGGCCAGCCACTACCGAAAGGTCACCCCTGCTTCTCCCGTCACTTTTCATCACCGCCAGCTCCGAGGGCGGCGGCGCCGCCTCGTGCTGCCAATCTCACCCTCCCTCATCTCCAAACTGTAGCTGGACCGGGAGGGCGGCCACTGATGTGGGCAGCGTCCTCGCCGCAGCACTGCCCAAAGAGGAGCAGCCCCTAACGTCACGGCCTTTCTGTCTGCCTCACAGGGCGAGAAGATCTTCTACTTGATCAAGCCCACTCCCAACAACCTTGCACTATATGAGGCATGGAGCTCTTCGCCCAATCAGAGTGAAGTGTTCTTTGGGGAAAAAGTGGACATGTGTTACAAGTGTGTTGTGCCCCAAGGAACCACCCTGCTCATCCCTACAGGTCTGTTTTTGTTTTGTTTTTTCCCTCTGGTTATTCTAACCTGACGCCAAAGTACTCTTGGGCTGAAGGAGGATGGAAGCAGTCTTGACTTTTAGCTCTCACCTCCTCTTTGCTCCTTCTTATCTGCATATCATGTTGTGTGTCACGTTAAGGATTGATAATTCTGCCGGGCATTAAACAGCATATCAAATGTGTATCCTGATGAAAACCAGCTTTAAAAAAGCAGTTATATAAAAGCAATTTTTCCACACATGAACATCCCTTCACATGTAGCTCCGACATGGAGATGGCGAGCATCCGATATGTACTTGGAGAAGCACCTGGGTAGTGTTTACAACAAGACGTGATATAAAACTATGCGGCAGAGTGTCCGCGATGGAAAACCTTGTGGAGAAAGGCTGCCATAGCTATAATATTAACGCTGTATGATGTCAGATGTCGGCGTTTCCTCTAATGTTGCCCCTCTCCTTTATGTCCATAAAGCCCAGGTCTTTCCCCATGTGTGAAAACAGATGGAGGGCACAAAATATTGGATCACTGCCACATAATGTGAACAGGACACAGGATTAAACGTAACGCACAGCAGAATGTTTCAGGCACTTAACGCTCAAAAGGACTCAAACGGTCCCATGCGCAGCGTTCAAAGTTCCAGCTTTAGCCTCTATCATTAAAGATAATAAAGGGTATATGTGTGTTTTGTTTTTGCTTTTTACAGCCTCGGTCTGGACCCGCTAATATTTGATTGACAGCTTCCACAGCAGCTAAACAAGGGAGCCTCGCACACAGTTAATTAAAACCAAACCAAACAAACGGAGTACAGAAGCTCCAATGGAGTTATGGATGACAGGCCATGGTGTCTAAGCACCATAAATTTCACTCTCAGACACGCAGCTGTCTGTGCTGCTACCTGGGTCCAAGTTAACAGCTTGACTCAAAGTTTGCTTTCCGATGCGTTTAGAAATTTAAATAGTTTTTTAATGGCTGCTGCGCGAAAAATACAGACTTCTTTGAGGTCCCCAGTGATTACCAGAGATAAATAATGTGTTAAAAAAACACATTTAAACATCCTATGTCACTTTAAGTGTGCTCCCGATTGTGACTTCAGGTAGAAGCAAAGGGCTCCAGATGTGGTGTCGGTTGTGTTGTTGTGTCAAGACGGTAACAAGATGTTGGTGTGGCAGCACTAACTGAATATTATATGCCCGTTAGCCACTCAAGTGTAGCTAATGTGTCCAGTCCCAGGATTCTTCATCCATCAGTCTCTGAATGGACTTTTTAAGCCGATAGAATTCCTTTGCCTGCAGCCTCCCCCCGCTGCTCCGAGACAGACAAAGCTCACTTCAGCCCATCAGCCGCTGGACATCTTCAGTCTCCCAGCCATGCTTTCTCAGCAGGCTCAAGCAACATTGTGAAAGGAAGCTTTCTGGCAGAGAAAAGGGTGCAGAGAGGCGGGAATTAAGTGGGGGTCAGAGAGCACAGTAGGTCAGTCAGGCAGAGCATTATCAGGCCTGTCTATCAGCCGTACAGCCCACCCCCCCAAAGTCTGCTCTCTTTCACTGGTGTTGTATCAGGAGCGCTGGGCTCTGTTGTTTTAAAAGTCAACCTTATCTGCCTAAAAAACCAACAGCGGGGAAGATAAAAAGTTTGTTTTTCTCCAAACTTGTCTGTCTTTAGGTTGTGGGGATTCTCCATTTTCCTGGGAATGCTAGTCAAACTCTACTCACTGGAACGATTTATTGATTGATTGATTGATTGATTGTGAAACAGCCAAATGTTTTGAGCTTTTTTCAGGTTTAGCAGCAGTCAGTTATGAGGTGGATGTCCTGCTGCAGAGACTGAGTTGAGCATCTGTGTTCTGCTGCCCTCTGCAGGCTGGATCCATGCTGTTCTCACTTCTCAGGATTGCATGGCATTTGGAGGGAACTTCCTTCACAACCTCAATATTGGCATGCAGCTCAGGTATGTCTGGACCAGATCTGGTAGACTTTACCTCGGGGTGTCTGTTTGTAATCAGTCATCAAACCGTTCTGTGTTTGCCGCCTTGGTTTTGGCTGCAGGTGTTATGAAATGGAGCGCCGTCTAAAAACCCCAGACCTCTTTAAGTTCCCTTACTTTGAGGCCATCTGCTGGTATGTGGCCAAAAACCTGCTGGAAATGCTGAAAGGTGAGAAACTAACCGCACAAACACTAAATGTGAGAGCCCTGATGCAAGAGTGCACAAATACAGGTGCCTTTTGATGTTTTTCAACCCCCCCCCCCACCCCATTGATTGGCTTCAACCCCGTATCGCTGTTTATTCCTCTCTTCTCTCAGAGCTACGCGAAGACAGCTGCCCACCGCCGACCTACATAGTAGACGGGGTCAAGGCTTTAATCGGTGCTCTGAGGACGTGGTTGAAAAGAGAGGTGAGAGTTGGCTGTGGCCTTGCAGCCCCCCCCTGCCTGTTGGAGTGTCATCTGAGGACGGATCCACTCGTCCTTACCAGACTGGCTGCTGACTTTTGCTCTGCTGTGGCTGTGCAGGTGACTGAACCCTCCAGCGAGGTGCCAGATCATATCAGGCCTAACCATCTTATTAAAGAGCTGACCAAGGAAATCCGCTACCTGGAGGTAAAGAATGAAAGGAGACTTTTTTTAAACTTCTTATTTAACACAACTCTTGCCTCATTTTCAAACTGATGTCAGATTTAGAGGCTGCAAAATGTCCCTGTTTTTTAAGGTAAAAACACACAATTGAATTTTTTTTATCTGTTGTTTGCGTGTTTGGTTCTTTTTTTAGACAAACAATGAATTCACCGTAGAATCTTTTGTCTTTAACAAAGTCTCCCGTTTTCAATGTGCAGGAAGAGCCAGGGAGTGTCGGCAAGCCAGTGAAATCTCAGGGATACGGACTGCCGCCTTGCATGAGCGCCTGCCCGGCCACCCGCTCCGCCCTGGAGAGGCTGTGCCAGGCGCGGCGGGCGCGGCGGGCCGCCCGGCGGCTGAGGGAGGAGCAGCGGCAGGCGCCCAAGCTGCCCTCCAACCTGGACATCTTGGAGCAGCACACCAGGGAGGTGCTGAAGAGGCTGGAGGTGGGGCCTCTGGAGGAGGTGAGCGTCCGGGAGCAAAGGCGGTCGGCCCGTGCCTTCGGTCGGCTTTCAGTGGCTTGTCGTGACTCCCGCACTGTGTCACCAGGACCCGGCGTTCTGCGCAAAGGTTCATGGGAAGCTCAACAAAGTGTCGACCGCATCCGCAGCAGCTGCAGCCGCCGCGGCCGAGTCCTTGGAGGACAACCACCTACGACTCATGCTGGTCAACGGGAGGATAATCAGGTCAGTGGAGGGGCTTCAGTCCACACTTCAGTGTTTGGACTTTTGGCCGCATCCAATATGGCGTCAATACGTTTCTTCTGCTGCCTGTGCCGAGCAGAGATCTGAGGCGGTTGGGCAGCAGCCCCATTAAGATGGAGGGGGGGCAGTCCCCTGCTGGCCACTGCCCACCAAAGAGCTGCGTGGAGGTGAAGTCGGAGAGGACGCAGCAAGGCACGGCGGAGAAGCCGACGCCCCTCAGTAAGTCAGAAGGGACCCGTGAGTTAGGTGGGAAGGCCTCGTTTTCTGTGAAGGCCTTCGGCTGATGACGTGCTCCTCTGTTGAAGGTCTGGAGGGGGTCAAGACTGAACTCAGGGACGAAATCTCAGGACACTCGGGTGTGTCGGACGTGGAGTCAGACAGCGATTCTACCACAGAGGTGATTGAGGAGCAGGACTGAGGTCACGCTTTTGGTCAACAAGGACGAGCCGAGTCCAATTTGACATGTAACAGCATCAGCTGTCGCTGAGTTGCGACTCAGCTAAACTCTGATCGGCTGCCCGCGCGCCACTTTTGTAACGCTGTGAAAACGTCTCTCTCGATCCAGCGCAAGGCGTCATCCTCGTCATCCTCCTCCGACGAGGACTCGGAGAGTTCGCAGGAAGAAGAAGACGACGACGACGATGAGGAGGAAGAGGAGGAGAGGGGCTCATCTCAGCAGACAGGCTCAGGGCACACCATAGAGCTGGACCCGTCCGGTCAGAATCTCAGGCACATGCACAAACCACTCAAACGGTAAGAAAACGCCGCGAAGCGCGCGGCCTCCCCCAAACGGGCACGGAGCGGGTGAGTGAGCGTCTGTCCCGCCTCTTCCAGAGAACGTCCTACCTCACCCAGCACAGAAGAGGCCATTCAGGGGATGCTGACCATGGCCGGGCTGCTCTGCCCCGCCGAGCCGGAGAAGGCGGCGTCGCCGCGGGAGCCCTGGTGGTCCAGCCAGCGCTCGCCACAAGAGGCGGCGCAGCGCCGGCTGCAGAGCGGGAAGAGCCCCATGGACAGCCAGGGCAACAGCAGCAGCGAGGCGTGGGACAATCAGGGGCTGCCCAGCCCCGAGGCGGACTACCAGTACTGTGACCCCTCCATGTCTCCCCCGCTGCACCCTTCCAAGAGACACGCCCCCAACCCCCCACCCATCAGCAATCAGGCTACAAAAGGTTTGTCTGTGTTAATCAGACCTGTCATTTAATAGGACCCGTTGAAAGAAATTAGCCTCCCGTTTGTCTGTCAGGTCTCCCAAAGCATTTTAATAGTGGATCCCAGACTGTTGTCATGTTTTTTTTTTTTTTTTGTCATCATTTGCTGCTTATTGAGTTTCATTCACACGTGATCCTTTTTTTTTTCCCTCAGGCAAACGGCCCAAAAAAGGAATGGCCACCGCCAAGCAAAGACTGGGCAAGATCCTGAAACTCAACAGACACAATCGTGTCTTTGTGTGACACCCCCCCGGGGATTTGGGGTGTTTACTTGAAAGCGTTTGGAGTTTAAAGAAAAAAAAAAACAAGACAAAACAAGAAAAAACTTTTGCGCATTCGGACACTTGTCAAAGTGTTTTATCGGACACTTGTGTGCTGTAGAGACGGGGTGGGGTTGGGGGGTGGAGGGGGGAGGGGACGGGGGGGGGGGACACACTGCCTGGAAACGACCGTAGCCGAACAAAATTGCGACGGGTGAAACGCGCTCACTGTGCATGCTTAGGAGACAGGGTACCGGATCTGAAATCAGCAAGGGCACGACTCGACCACAAGCACACTAAGAACAAAGAAAGAGGAGCCCCCGGGTGAGGAGCCCCCACTGGCATTCACAGGGACGGAGGAGAGGCGGAAGATGGCAGCTCATCTGCATCGCACCCCCCCCCCCCCCCGCTGAACGCCTTCCTGCAGCCTCCACACCCTCCATCTGCAAAGGATGCTGGGAGTCACCTCTCTCCTGTGGCACCCTGAAAGGATGGGGGGGGAGGGTGACAAGGGCAACGCGGTGCTTTAAAACAGAAAAAACAAACAAAAAAAAAGCAAGAAAAGAAAAAGAAAGGAAGGGGTGAACTGATATTTCAAATGGTGCTTATTTGTTTTTGTATTTTTCTCCTCTCATGCTTCCCTCTTCCCAACTTTTATCTCCAATCACACCAGCAATAAATGACTCGGAAAGGAACGGAAAGGATGAGAGGCAGCACTTGGGTGCCCCCCCCCCCCTGCCCCCGGTCGGTCTGAATCTGGACGGGTGCAGACTCTTGACGGCGCTACTCTGCCCTCACGTGCACACCGGCTTGTTTGTTAATTAACTAAGAAGGAAGCCGCTCAAAGTGCTGCCTCTCTGTGAATTATTCGATAGGAAATGTGAGCCGTTCGCTCCGAAACGACTCACATCCTGTTTAATTTATTTCTCATTTTATCTGTGATGTTTTCTCTTTTTAAATGTTATTTTTACGGATTCTGAATTATGTATTTATTAATTGAAAGAGCTGATGATTTTATTATATTTTGACCGCAAAACCTCAGTTATTCTGAGAGTTTTTCCTTTTGTAAGGGGTTTCTTTCCTCTCTCTTTTTTTAAAATCTTTTAACACATAGTTTTTGTAAATGTGGATGTTTGTAGAGGTCACGTGATCATCGGTTGAGTAGCAGTTTACCTACAAACCTTTTCCGACCTTCTTTCCCTTCATCCTTCCTTCCTTCCCAGTTGCGTAGAGCCTGTGTTAATTCTCGTCTATTCTGGTTTTCCTTTTCTCGCTGTAGCCAGAGATGTTCAAGCAGTGTTTGACTACAGAGACTAGGTTAGGTTTTGGAAAAAACAGGAAAAAAAAATGTAAACTTTCATATCACCTGAGCATTCTCAACTTGTGCCACTCATCATTTAGCAAAAAACAAAAACGCCACAAGTATTCTGAGCCACTGTGGTCGATCCAAAGTAGTCATTGTGTTCACAAGTCCGTGATGAGGAACTTCAGTGGGATAAATGAGTTTTTTTTTTTTCTTAATATATTTTCCAATACTGATGTGAAATGTTTTGACTCTGGATGCGCAGTTCTTCACTCTCAGGGAATGATGCCATGGACAAAACCTCCGATCAACCACCAGCCACTTCATGGATGCAGACAGGACACTCTCAGCACTCACACAAGACTTTAAGAATCTCTTCCAGCTTTGGAGATGCTGAGGTTTGTTTTTCATAGCTTCAAAAAAAAAAAAAAAAAGAAAAAAAACACACTTTGTGGTTTTTCAAGTTGTATGGATGCGCTCGGCTTTAGCTTTTTACCTGTCGGTCACTGTTACCTTTAGGCTCCCAGGAATTGCCCCATAAACGTGTTCAGCTCAGTGTTTACACATGAAATGCCCATTAGGTTGACCCTAAGCATGTAAACGACGCCCAGGTGAGCAGCTTGCCATGTAGCTTTAACACCACCTCTTGAACAGCACGAGACTTTTGGAAAGTTTTGCTCAGGTTGACCTGCAAGTAACTGTGTGATTAATGAGGTGTTTAAAAGAATCCCAACACAGAGAACTAAGGTAACGTAAAAGTTAGTGTTAATCACATTGCCAGACTGATTTTGTCCTTTTCTTCTTTCTTATTACACTACACTTTGAAACTTTGCATGTCATTTAAAAAAAGAAAAAAAACACAAACTAGCCCGCAGGCAGGGTTTGTTGTGAGCTGTTGTATTTGCCGCACAGGATTTGTTCCCCCCTTTGCTTCCATAAGCAACTCTCTTGGCATTTGTGTTGTGTGTTGGTTCTTCCAATGTTTTTTTTCCCCCCAGTTTTTTGAAAAGCTTATGATTCGAAATATACAAACACTGGCTAACTGTGACACTGTTAATGCATTGCAATTTTTCGTTTCTAAATTTCAAAAGAATTGCGTGTAAATAAAACTAATGTATAATAAACCCGTCTTTTGTCAAGCTCAGTCTTATAATTCAGCGGTTTTTGAAAAGTAAGATACTTGGAATGAAAGACATCTGTTTAACTTAAAGATAATTTTATTAGTCTATGTACAACATTGACTTCTGGAAAACTTTGAAGATCTTCACCAAGACTTGCCAAACAGTTTGAATCCCTCGTGGGTGATCTATGAAAAGAAAAACAGGTTTTCAACAATGGATAACTACATTAGAATGTAGAACTGTGACCCAAACAGAACTGATGTCTCTCTTTTCAAACTGTGACCAGTACAAACAAATAAAAAAGCAAACTTATTTATTATAAGCTAAACTGACTTTAATTAGACATGAACACCTTCTGTGCATATGATGTATTTGGACTTGTCAGTGATGTCAATTAGCCTTTTTGGTTAATCTATTAACTTATAAAATGCAAAACATTGTGTAACTTGTAAGCCAACCCAGTTGCACAGATCAGCTCATAAGCAAAGGAAATTAAAGCAATCACCTTATTCTTCGTCATCTGCTGGGATACCGAGCTCTTCGTCTGTCCATGCAGAAGCATCTGGCCAGGGGAAGTGACCCTACGAAAAGGTATGAACTCTGATAAAGATGCTGATATCATAGTTTGGATCCTCTCTTGATGCACATAAGAAACACTCCTGCATAATCTTTGTGAATGTAATTGAAACGAAAAATGTGATTCTATGCCACTCTGTCCTAAGTCTATACATATAAAAAATAATGACTATGAACCTGCTTGAAATAGAAGGAATGGCCAACAATTAGACTACTCCTAAGTCTCCTTGTCTTAGTAAAGCGGAACAAAAATGGAAGGCGTACGTTTAAAACCCAGTTATTGCTGTTACCTCATCCCTGGTAGCTTCGTCTGTTTTCTAAGCTGACTGTAGACAGGGAAAAATAAGCGTTGTGGTCTGTTTACTTACCAGCACCGCGTCGGGGTCATGCCAGCAGTGCCAAAGGATCCAAAACCACATAGCACCGCTGATGAGCTCAGACTCGAACTTCTGCTTCTTTGTTAGCTGCGGGTACTGTCTGTACTGTGGCTCAATGTGCGGTCCTCCGCTAGCCCTGAAACAAGAAAAAGTGATGTTGCAGAATACGCACGTTTTGTACTTTGCCTAATGTTGTAACATTTCGTTGTTGTCGGTTTCCATACGTGTTTGCCAGAAACGACCAAAGCTAGCAAACGTAGCGGCTAATGGGCTAGCGGACTTACTTTCTGCTAGTTATCCTTCCTGGGCCATTCTTAAACAGCCGAGACCCGGTCCGAAGGACTCCCAACGCCCTTCCAAAAGAAGACATGGCAGCTCCTTTGGGAAAAACCCCACTTATTATGTTTTATTTTTTATGTTTCGTATGAGGTTCTTTTGCTATACCCAAGGAGTCACCTTCTCTCCTTGTCAATAAACGACCTCCAAACAACGTCGGCTATGATTGGACAGAAAGCCACTGCTCGTATATACTCTTTGCTCATTGGCTGAATGGAAACGGTATCATTTTATTACAGCACTCCTTACGTTCACTTGAAGCATTGTTTGCAGACAAAATGTGGTTTCACATATTGAAAGTTACAAAATACGTATATTGTATTTTGTAGATGTCCAATTGTATCTTAACACTGGGTCATAAAGGTTGCTGTCCATGTAAACCAACAGATTTTTCTTTTTCTTTTTTAAAGCAGATTAAAGCTACATCATGTACAAAAATACGACAAAACCAAACCATTTATATTGTTTTTTATTATTTTAAAATATCTTCAACAACGTTTTGTAACAGTAAATATACAACATAAAAATATTGTCATAAGATGTTCAAGTGGGACTATTTAGAACTGATGTTTTCCCATCCTAGATTGAAATAGGGAGTTGCTAAACCGCTCTTTAATAGGCAGACGTTCCACTTTGCAGACACACCTGGTCTTTTTCACATGTGCAGCCACATGGTTTAGCTCATTAACAATACATTTTCAGAGGTGTTCTCAAACTGGGATTTTCCACATAGAAGAGCCTATGTATTCAATGACTACAGTATTTCCATAGCTTTCAGTAATGTTATATAAAGCATCCCGAACAAATAAACTACCTTTGACAATTTTTGTTGATAATCTGTTACAAATAGATCTATTTAGCTCAGATTATTTGTAGCAGTTGCCTTTTATGCGGGTCATAATTCCATGTCAAATTTGGCATCTATGTACACAGTAATATTTGAAAAATTATTTTATTTTTTTCCATTTAAAATATTTCATTACACGTGATTTCCAAATCACTGCATTGCTTCAATTTACATTTAACACACCCTCCAGTCTTTTTTATGGCAGCCTCTTCCTTCTTGGTCCACTGGATGGCGTTAAAGTTAAGCATTCACAGGCTAATGTTCTCAGTGCAACATCTTTTTTTTTTTTTCCGTGTTGTACATGTGCAACTCCCCTTAGAATTGTTCATTATCTTTAAACAGGGGCATCAGGTGTTTGTGTAACATGATTAACAGCATGTGGAAATTCCAAAGCGAACTATTGTTTCTTAGGAGATTGTAACATTTTCTGTGACAATATCTATTTAAAAGTCAAAACATCTTTCTTATCATATTAAATTCAAATTAGAAGTACAAGGGTCACCTTTAGGTTTGTGGTCGTGGTTGAGTTAAAGTAGAGCCATTCAGGATATGGAAACAGGAAATAACATTGTCGCGAGAACGCGCACGGCGCCGCCGCCCTGAGACAAGGGGGGAAAAAAGCCTCGACGCCATCTTGTTTTCAGTCGACGACGAATTTCTATTAACGAACAGAGGCCACTTTTTGTGAATAGCCGCATATAATATGCGCACCAGTTAATACAAAATGCACAGCATGTCCCTAAAGTCAAGTTGATTTTTAACCATCGGTTTGCTTCTTGATACTACAGACACCCATTTACATCGTTACCTAATGGCGCCTGACCGCTGCTGCTCTCCGGTTGCGCCCCTCTCCCCTCGTAGCTCAGAGCCCGCCCACAAATACTAACTGCATGATGTCATCATAAACCAGCCATTTCTCAAAAATGACCATTTCCACCAGTGGATTTTGGACAACCACAAAGCCCCCCCTTCCCATAAAATGAGTGCCAGAATCTTAATATGAAGGAGATCACTTCATCCCGAAATCACGGTGGGCTCAACGGTCACGGATAAAGATTTTTTCCTTTTCCCCCAATTCGACAGTTATCGCAGCATCCTCCACAGTCATGCATTTCCGTTTTTTTTAGCTGATGTTGTCGATTTAGTAGCTCGGTCAACCAAAATGTTACATCTCCGTCGTTCCCCAAGTTAAAAGCAAACACCCTTGCTGCTCGTGCACCAGCAGTTGCAGCGATCCTACAAGAATGCGCACGCGCGAGGGGATGCGGTTTAGGGTGGGGGAGGGTCGATAAATGGAAACGATGAGAACATCCTCCCTCAACATATGATGTCAAAGGGATTTCTACAGATTTCTACAGACGTGACAGTACCAGATTTTCAACAATAACCATGCCAGAATACCAAATGGTGTGTTTAAAGCTGAAGACTGAGTAACTTAATACAAAATAAACCGTTAAAAACTATAAGTTACCAAGCACCAAAAAGTCAACAGGGCTTTAAGTGCTGGCATGTTTATAAAAAAAAGAGTGCATATTTTGAACAACTCAGACTGTTCTACATGCATCTGATTCCCTTTTTAATTTTCTTAATATGAGTTGGGACAGTATATTGGTTCCTCACTATTTTAACTTAATGATACTTCAAGTCAAACAAAGTTTCCCTTTGTAATAAAATGGTATGTTTTTAGACTTTCATCAACAGGTACAACAGGTTATGCTGTGCATGATATTGTTTTCTGGAATATTCAGTGTTCCTTATCCACAATTGAATCATTGGTCGGTGTTTTATAGACTATTCCTATTCTATATCAGCAGAATATATAAAATGTACCTCTTGTATAAGGGGTTACATAACAGCTACTACAACATCTACTGAGCTGGCTGGCAGATTTGGGTGATCCTTTATAACCATGCTAATGCCACAGTGAAGGGTTTTGATAAACACAGGAATTATTCTCTTTGCAGACTGATAGGCTGAGTGGGAATTAGCATACATGACATATCCATGTTTGACATCTTTGTTTTGTGTGTTAATAGAAAAATATTAAGTATTGTCCATGCTGAGGTCATATTCGTATTCAGCACGAAAAGGCTGATATGAAATCCAGCAACTTTTCACCCTGAGAGGAAGAGGGGGAAACAGGAGGGGAAACGGTAATTGATTTAAACAAAACCTCCTGATAAAGGCAGTCCCACAGCTGACTTCACTTTCAGGAGATGATCTTCAGATAACATGACTGTTTGCTGGCACAAAATTTCAAGAGTTAGAACAGTAAGGTCAAACTTTGTTGAAATAATTACCATAGAAAAGTTTTGTTTGGAAAAGAGCTTGAAAATGATTTTGTTTCAAAATCATAATTAGAGTACATAATACTCAACACACAGCATATACATTTTCTAATATATTTAAAACAGGGACGTTTACTCGTTTTTTTTTTTTTACAGGAGTTGGAAATAAAAATTGAAACAAATCTTACTATTCGATATTTCTGTTGTTTTGTTATTTCTTGTATGTTGAAATTCCTAGATAACTTTAAACCGAAAGCTAAAACATCCGCAAGTATTCACGTAATATTGAGTGAACATATGTTCCGCTCCTAAATGCCCGGGTAACTTGTAACTGTTGACACGTTGGAAATACAGTCACATATAAAAACACCAGGTTAAATATATTAACCAGATTAGTTTTTTAAGACACTGTTTGTTTTAGTCGGCACTGCAACATGGTTTTCAGTGTGGCTCTTTTTTTTCTCGACGGGCAATGAGTTGATGGCGTCAAATCCTAGTGCGTTACCGACAGAAATAGCAATCCCGTCGAGGACTTGTACTCGCGGACGCGCGCAGAGCTCGCTCCCGTCGCCCCTGCCAAGCGGGGAGCGTAGCCCCGCAGTATGTGAAGGCGGAGCTCGGCTTGGGAGATGGTGCGGGAGGGGGGCTCGTGGGGGAGGCGGAGTCTCGGCAGTCCTGGCAGGGCCGCCATTTTTGCAAAGGGAAAAGAGACTGGTTTGAGGGGATCTAATTTCTAAAAGTCGCCGTTGACTGGGGCTCAGTTTTAACGGTTTCGAATTGATTTCTTGCCACTTTCCGGTCCCAGCTTAAAACAAGGGACAAGGGATTTTTCATAAGAAAGTATTCTTTAGAGGACAAGTTAAAATACAAACATTTTAAACCTTGGCTAAGGATCCGCAGTGTGTGGACAGAAGTATTGTTTTGGTTGTGGAAGCTGCGACAGGGGTCTTACCCAGGTCCCCTTTTTTGCCATTCAGATCCTCCAGAGTGGACTTAAAACGGTAAGTAAGCTGCTTTAAGTGTGAGTAAAATAGTGACCACAAATCCGAGCTAGAAGGGTATTGTTGGCTTTAGTTTAGCTGGCTAGGCACATCATGCTGATGCTTGCTAACGTTGAATCAGCTGAGTTTAGCTTGCTGTCTTACTGTTAAACACCATGAAATCAGAATATGCACAAGCCAAATGCTTATCGTTCTCATTTGTGTTGATCACAACTTGAAACGGCAAAATAGACGGTACTCTTTTACAGTGTGAGTATCAACTTGGCAAGCCAACAGACCACTTGCTAACTAGCGCATGCTACTAGCTCAAATTAGCTTGACACAAACCGAATAGGGCTCTGACTTTTCGTTGATAATGTGGCAGAACATGAAATGCCACAGCAAATACGGACAGTATTACGTAGAAATCCTAATAATATGGGTGACTGTTATTCAGAAAGTTAAAAGTATCTCCTGCACTAATTTCCCGTTATGGCTTGCTCAACACAAAAACGTTACATTATAAGGGTCTGCCCTGTAGCATAAGGTATTCATTCAGGCAACAACAGTGAACACTGTGCTAAAGAATGCGATTCTTCCAAAAAAAGAAAACCGTTATTACTATTGTCTGCAGGTCCACTAGACATAGGCAAGTGTAGAGGGACAGTTACTTGATGTTTAGTTTGACACACTGACACTGCGGGCCATGTTGCGCACAGTTTTATTCGCTTTTGTGTACAAAACGTTAAATATTTGTCACAGTCTAAATGTGCCAAACCGCCTGTTAATGTTACTTGGTGGTGTCTTCACTACACTACCATTCTACCATGGAAAACATGCCATCAATGCTAATATATTGTTTTTACAAATAGATTGTTTGTAAATAAAACTCCTCGTTCTTTCCTCCTCCGTTCAGTTTTATCCTCACCCATTATTGTATATCTCTGCTAAGAGCACCTGAACCCCACCACAAAAATTCTTTGTCCAAATTTCACCGACTTTGTGTGCACATGACTAAGTTGAAACCATATTGCGATCTCATACACCACAAAACGCTACCCTCTCCTTTTTTGAAGCCTGTTATATTACTGTATATTGGATACAATGTCATCAAAGCCACCAGCTCTTGAGAGAGAACTCATGCTGCTTGAATATTGTGTCTACAGTACTTTGACGTTGTACAACAGTGTTTTATTAACGAACCTGAATCTGCCAAACCGTCTGTATGATTTTGCCTCACTTCACAGTATTATTTCCGTTAAGATAAACGTTCTTCAACGCCACAGCTCAGCGCCCGAGAACAATGAGCTTCTAACATACATGTAAACAGATACATGAAGATGTTTAGTTTATGTCCAAGGCAACTTAAGAGTCTTTTAAATAGCTCAAATGCCTGGTTGCATTGCGCAGTGGGCTGAAAGGCTACTTATGAAACGGCAACTATAACAATATTATGTCAAGATTGGGCCCAATTACTGACAAAAAAAAACCTGATTGCTATTCCCTTTTTTGATGTTGTTGTTACATTCATACTTGAGAGAACAATTTACAGTCCCTTAATTTAGTCAGTGTGTATTGGGATCAAATGCTGCAACTGTGGGGGAGGGGATGTTCCATTTGGGCATCTCGCCCCACTCGTACAGTTTGCAACTCCACTGGCAATCATAGCCATATTGAACTATACTGTTTTCCCCGGCCTGGCACAAATTACCGTAAGAATGAGGAGCATGGCTTTGCTGTGCCCCGAGCTGCTATCTCTCAGCGCCGATGTGGTCGCGCGTTCCTGTCTGTGACGACCCAAGCATTAATCCACTTCTGTCGTGTAACCAGCTACGCATTATGCTGTTAGCTTCCGTTAGCTCGGTCGTAACATACCTGGGATATTTTTGGCCCTTATCAAGGACAGAAAATGACGACAATCTCAGTATTGAGGAAAAAAAGGCCAGATTTAAGACAGTGGGTGCTTCGGTTGTCTCATTCCTCCGAATGCCATGGCATGTTGCCCGCTAACATTACATTTCAAGAGGTTAATGCTGGCCTTGCGTTTCGACGAATTCACATAACCCTGGCGGCAACGCCACAGAAACTGTACCGAAAGGGTGACACTTGGAGTAGATTGTGTGAAAGAGTTGATTGAATGCATTCTTGGGGATTTTCTTCCCATGGCGAGGCTCCCCTGGCTACACGCCGTCCTGAGAAAACCGCTCTGAAAATGGCGACAGCACCAGGGTGTTGTGGTAACATAATAGCAACGTTGTGCCCTCCACACCCCTACCGGCAGGACTGACTGCAGCGCCGACACACTCACCGAGAGGCAACTACACAACACACCAGTTTTTTTTTTTCTTTTTTCGTGGAGGTTACGGCAACGTCAAACAATTCTAACCGTACCTTACTTAGTTAGACGCGCCTTTTTGGGTTTGAGGTAAAAGGAAGAACCGACGATGTTGCTTCTTTTTTCTCTTTTCTTCTTGAACCACCACCTGAAACCTACGTCACGTGTTGTCAGTGTTTAATGACAGAACACGAGTGTTTTCGTTTTCACATTAAAAAGTAAGCAGAAGCAAGTAGAAGTACTAATCTGCTTTATGTTTTTTTAGAGACACAAAGCAATACAATCCTTAGATTCCTTGCTACATGCTACCTGCCAGGAGTCATTTATACCAATATTTCCACAAAGCACAGTACACAGTGGACATCTCATGTCAAATAAATGTTCTAGTTTAATCTCAAAGTTAGTAAGTACATTACCTCTTAAAAGGTAATGATTACTTAGTAGAATTTGAACTTTTTAGTCACTTTGTGGAGCACATGCATATCTCCATTTCAAGGGACAAAGCATTTGTTCTTTGTGTTCGTGCCAAGTTCGTTTTATAGGATGCTGTAAATGCTAGTTTGACCTAGTCTCTGTTGGATGACTTGCAATCAATGTTTATGTTTACATACGCCTTGAACATTGTAATTTGCCGCGGTAGTATTAGATAGTAGTCTCTCAGACTGTTGTTGTGTAGCCCCACATATATGGCTGTATTTTATAGATAAAAATAAAATACATTGTGCCTGAAATGCAACACTATTTGTACTTAATTTAACTTGGTCCTAAAATATCATTTATGACTTTAATTAGTCCATTTTGACTTCATAGACTCATGAAAGTGCACAGGGAAGCATGTTTAGGCTTTAGTTCTATAACAATTACAGAAAGTGGCCCTTCTCTGTTAGCATTTGTTATATTATAAACTACTAAAATCATAAATCATGTTTCTTGTACAATAAGACTGTAAGATCCAGAAATGCATTGTGCAAATATCTAATAAGCAGTTGAAATGTTTCTGTTTTGAAGGAAGGTTATCTTTATTCATTATTACAACATTATAAGGCATTTGTGGAGGATATGTTCTGCCCATCACTACTGTTACCTTGTTACTACTACATGAGTAAGAGAGCCCTCTGGTCTAATTAGTTTCTCTTTTTATGTATAAAAAATACGATTCAATATTTTTATCTTTGTAAAAGAGCAGTGTCCTTTGTTCTTTGTGTTGTAGTCATATAAAAAATCTTCATTGTTATGTTGCCAGAACAGTGTTAAAAACCCAAGTGGCCTAATCGGTGCCCAATGGCTGTGTGCAGGAGAGCACATGCTTTTGTTTGCTCTGTTAACACAGATGTAGGGTGAAGGTGTGGTGCCCGTCCTCCTCTGCCATAGGGACAGGGCACTCTGACTGGGGGCTGGAGCCATGAATCTGAATCTATCATGGTGTCCTCGGACACGTCCTGTCACCCTAACCTTAAAAGCACACTGAGACACACAAGCTAGTCCACAACTGCTTCTTCAAGTATTTTTGTTAGAGAGAGTCAATTTAAAAAGACACAGCAGGATGTCAGGGGAAAGCTGTTTATGAATTGACATTTTGACAGGATGTGAAGGCCACGGGCCTTTTGGTGTTCTCATTAACCTTCTTCCTAAACTCTGTCTTTGTGCTCATCCTGAAACAGTGGCTCCTCTGTGCAGCTGTCATGTCTGCTCGTATAGATACACCTCACCATGTGGGACTAAGCTGTGGAGCTGTGACACGGTCTCTGGTGATCTCATGTGTGGTGTCCGGACCCTTAGAGACCCAGAAACAATGCTGAATGGCTGAGGGAGCCCAACTCAGTCACATGGCATCCCAGCTGGGAAGAGAAGCCGGGGCTCAGGTGACCTGTTTTTGTGCTGCTAGCTGGGCCGTAACAGATCCCTCTTTAAAGTAGCAAGCTGTCCTTCTGACGGGTGGCTGCTGAGGCTGCAGCCTCACTACAGTTCCGTCGCCTTGCTGTTGCTCCACCTACACGATAACGTTCATGCATTGGAGCAAAGAGCTGGACGGGCTGAATAAAGCAAGGGGTTTGCTATCGATGCTGGTGATGTAACAACACTGCAGCCCAGGCGTAAAATTGATAATCAAACACTCTTTTAATGTTGTCTGAGTGGCTATTAAAGTTCTTTTTGCACTAGATGCTGAGAAGCCTCTCTCTCCACATTCTTTGCGCACACATGGACGCATAGTTCACATTTTAGATTAGCAGGACTGCGCATTCTCCAAATGCTGTAGTTAGTTACCAGCTCCATATGGTCCTGCTTGTCGGCATCTAATTACAATGGCCCTCCCCGTCCAGTGAACAAAATGACTTTGGATCTTAAATGTGCATTCATTAAAGTAAACGCTCAATTTGAGTTTTGATACACTGAATGCTAATAAACATTTCAATTGTTCCAAAGAGCTCCCACATGACCAAACAAGGCTTGCTTGTGTCTTTTGAGGTGCAGGGAGAATGAAAGATTGTGTCCCAGAGTGCTCCTGAGCGGGCCTAACTCAGAGCACAGAAGGGGTGCCCCAGCTGCTTTTGACTTTAACTCACTCCCCCAGTAGTTGAATGTTCATAGTATTAGGTGCTTTTTTTGGTCCTAAATTGATGTAAATTCCAAGCTTAAAGCAACAAGGCATGTGGCAGGTGCTGTGTTGGTGTGCATGTCACTGCCTGTGTTTGTCTTTGTCAGCCTGCTCCTCTGTTGGCCCTTAGACTTTATTTTTCCTCTTATTGACTGATTCTTGTTTGGCATATGCAGGCGGGTCTTTTAGAGGTACCTCTTTGCACGCCATACACCGCGTCTCCTATTGTAGCCTCGAAAATTTGCTTGCGTCCGTGTCCCTTGCTGTATTGATGTATACTTCACCTTCACTGCCTGCGTGCGGGGGGGGGGGCTCAGGCAGCCATGGGCACCCTGATTGATGAAGGCAGACACGGTGTGTCCCACGGTGGGCACATAGCTGAACAAAAGGGCTAAGCCTGCATTCCATCTGGGCCCAGCTTCCTGTCTAAATGACTGTATTTGTGTGAGCGTGCTAACGTTTTAGAAGCTGACTCATTGGAGCTGGCTCTGATGATGGTGTGATGTTGCATTATGGTGGCAGGAGGGCCAAGGCTTCAGGTTGGAATTCTTGCTTTTTGTCTCGCTCCTCCTGGTTAGCAGAAAGCAAAAAAGACTGAAAAACACCGTCATACCTCCAGACAGCAAAACTGTCTACTGCCGTGATTTGGATTTGACGGTATAGGTTTCCCCCTCTGTCACTTCGCTGCCGTTCTGGCTTTAAAGGGTAGCTGCTCCACACACAATGACGCGACTGTGTCCCCTCCGTAAGGGATGGAAGGCAAAAACGGGAGAGACTGGGTTACGCTATGTGCTCCACTCTGCCACCCAGAGCCCGTCCAGGTCTCGGCTGTGCAGCATCACTGTCAGACAGTCCCTGTGTACACCTCCCCCACCCCACTGCCCTCTCAAATGGAGGAGCTTGGGTGATTTGTAAAGCTCCCTGTAGCGCAAGGAAATCTATTTAGTGAGCAAATGAAAGGCAAGCAGATTTACAGGAACCCGTCAGTGAAAGAAACTTAACCACTTCCATCTTGTGGCTTGTTTTACAATTACCCACTCTTTATTTATTTCTTTTCACATGTGATTCTCTGTCCTACTCACCCTCCCCTGTGCATGTTCCCTATTTTCTTCACCACTCACTCCTCTCACGTGTTTCCATAACGGCAGAGGATTTAGCCAAAGGTGGCTTTAAATGTTCTCTCGTGTCCCTCTTGTAATTAGGAACTGTGTCTGCGACACTCCCCTTCCTCTCAGCTCTGCGTTACTGTTTCAGGTTTATTTAGGAAGTGCACAGAGGAGGGAGAGAAATCCGCCTGGGCGGGGTGACTGGGCTCAAGAAGGAGGGGGGTGCTCTACCCCCCCCCCTCTTTCTCTGGCTGCGTTTCTCCAGGGTGATGGGCAGCTCTCCTAGAGGAAGTAGGAGGAGCAGGCAGAGGCAGTCACGGCACAGCTCAGATTTAGTCAGGAATGTTGCTGTTCTGTACTTGTTTTTCTTTTTTCCGCTTGACTCTTGTCAGTCCTGCCCATGTGTGACTGCAGTGCATGTTTGCACACTGCTCTGAAGCCTCACTTAGTGACGAATGTTTGAAAGGATGGGCTGAGAGGTTATCTGTCCTCTTTCATTCGTGGAGGGTCTGATGGATGTGTGAACTTGTAGTTTGTGCGATTTTTTTTACTAGTGACTGCAAGGCTTACGTGACCAAAAACAAAAACAAAGTGGGAAAGAAGAAAGCAACTGAAATCTCGAGAGGAGGAAGTTTTTTTTTTTTTAATATTAAAAAAAACAAACCTGTGCTCGAATATACTGGAGCCTCTCAGACAATCGAAAGAGGAGGGGTCTGTCATTTTACTGTTTTTGGCAATGTGCCCCACTCTTGTTGAAATGAAGTGTTCTGGTTACATCAGCTTCCATCAAAAATGCCCCTATCGCATCCGTGTGTTTAACACAGTAGGGGATATGGTAGAAGAGATCCTATCGGTAGCCCTGGCTGACATAGGGTTGTCTTTCTCCAATTAATTGCACCTGCCACTGACAGCTGTCGTGCCTGTGTGGCTCTCGCTGGCCCTGCCTGCGCAGATAGGGCATTTTGGGTGATGTAGAAGAAAGCAGTCTCCCATTGATTTTACATTTCACTCCATGAACCGTGGATTTCCCGAACAGAGTTTTTGCCATGAGTATTTGGCACAAACCCGATCATGAACTGCGGCTTTCCCTCGAAAGACACTGTACACGTGTTAACATGCATTTTATGAGCCTTTGAGGGGGCGTGTTTAGCTGCATTCTTTCGTCACAGCTCCCCATGGGCATGCATAGACAAGTTTTACTGGGAGTCTGTGCTCCTGCTTGCAAAGTGTGCCCCCGACTCAACACATGACTTATTACTGCTTTGTAACACATCTCCAGCCTGAGCGGCGATCTGAGCTTTTGTTTGGCCATAGTTTGTATGAGCAGGCGGAGGTGTGACCTACAGCCTATTTTGTCTCAGCATCTGTCCCTCCCACTAATCCCGCTTATCAACAGAGCTGTCTGTATCAGGGGCAGCCACAACGACACATATGCTCCCGTCTGGATCGACATCAAACACAAATACCTGGCTCCATGTTACCATACACTCTCCTTTATGAGTATTATTTATCGATCACGCCAAATGGAGACCAAAATTACATTATGTCTCTTTACACCTAAAGGAATCAATTATTTATGATGTGGTTTCACAGCTGCTTTTTCCTGTACAGAATTAGAGATGCTAGCAAAAGCTTTCAATGGAACATACACATAGACGTGCAAACCCATTGCAGTTACTAGATTATGTATGTCTTTTATTCTAAATATGTGTGTGTGCCTAGAATGGAGCAATCCTCTTTAGTTGAAGGGGGGGAAAATGGCCTCTGTGTTGCATTTTCCTCCCTCCTTTCATGGAGGCCGTCTGCCTTGTGTTCTCTTGCTCCCCTTTGTGGGAGTTGTCTTACAGTGCAGCCTTGTGCGTTCCTGGCAGATAGTGTGTAGAGGTCGCCTTAGCGCAGTTCACAGCAGAAGCTCCGGCTTCAACTTACAACTGAGTATTCTCCCGCTTTCTGTCAGTCAGTAACTTCTGTTTGGTGCCTTCGTCAGGGGGGAAATTCCTGGCGAACGTTTTGTTTATCAAGAGCCATGTGTGCACTGAAAAAATGAATCATTGTTTTACATGTTCTGGAAAAACCCCATTTCATGAATTCCCCATTTTAATTTCAGTTTAGACTAACTTGTCTTTAATCTTTGTTTATAATCTTAATGAAATGACAACATTGCGATTGACATCTCCATATAATGCACAATTTTCATTGCTTTTTTTGTCTCTCTTCTGTATTTTCAGGCCTTGTGGATGCACTTAGATGTCTGCAATGAGTGCTGCGGCTGGCATGCCTCAGTGTTTTGGACTCCCTTTCTCTGGACTCAGTTGGACAAGAACTGATAAGCAGAGAACGTCATGAGCATAGTCATCCCAGTAGGGGTGGACACATCAGACACCTCATACCTGGAAATGGCTGCAGGCTCAGAGTGAGTAACACCATGCCTTCCCATCTCACACCTTTTAAGCCCCCTCACTTCCTCTTTTTGATTCATTCTTACATGCCATTGATGATTTCCGACCTCACCTCTCAGTTTTACTCCTCTTTTCCCCTGCCCCGCTTTCACCCTGTGTTGGCCTCTGCTCTCATATCCTACTTATCTTTGGTGTCCTCCGCACATGTTAGACACCACTGTCGTATAAGTTTTCTTTTCTTCCCCCATCCTGTCCACTTCCTTCTAAAAATGCCTCAGCATGCCTCCTATAATCACTATAGCAGGCTTGTGTATTTCTCTTTCTGTTCATGGGTTGAGTCACATCTGCTTTACAAGTTGGTCCACACTCACCCTGTACTATTGGATTAGTGATTCCTTCAGTCTTGGCATCAGCTGGAATGTTTGTTCACGATGAAGACGGATTTAGATTTTCTAAATCTAATTATTTAAGAATTGCTCATAAACCCAAAACGTAGCTGTAGTTTGAAATCTAAAAGTTGCTGCGTGAATGGATACAGAGGCACCAAACATCTCTCTCCTTGATCTCGGGGCTCTAGCTTGATGTTCGCACATATGCACACTGCATTCAGTCCATGGAGCAGAAATGGTGCATGGAGCCATGGCAACAAGCTTCCTAATGCCCCTCCTCTTCATTTCCTACAGTCTTGTCAAGGACATTGGCGTGGCTTTATCTGGTCAACTAAATGAAGCAAGACGTTCGTGTATGACTAAAGAATAAGTCACGTCATCTACTTACAGAGGGGGTCCTGTCTCTTTAAAGGAGGGATAGCCCTCCCCTTTGCCTTCATCAGAGCTGTTGCCGTGACAGCTTGAGTTGCCATGGTATCTGCCCATCACCCCCCTCTCCTCTCTCTGCACTGCGCAGGGCTTGTTGCCATAGTTACCGGCCTGAGTGACAGGTGGTCCACACACAGATATGGCGTCCTAAACAGTTCCAGCGCGTCCCCCTGCCCCCTCCTCCCCTCTACAGAGCTCTGCTGCCACTGGGGGTAGGAGTAAACCCCATGCTCGACTCCCTTGTTGTCTTTGTCCGTCTACGCTCTGGGTTTCATTGCCCGCTGCAGATTTTTTTTTCAAAAGCAGACCATGGGCTTGAACGGGGCTTGTACCTGCTGCTGCAGCACAGGTCCCATCCAGTGTGCTTTTCCGGCACACGAAAGCCCACACAGCTTCACGAGCCAGCCCAGTCTGGAACGGCGCTGCTGGCTACTCACCAGAGAAACTGCCTTGCGTCCTTTCTATGTCCCCCTGAAGTCTGCAGCAGTATGAACAGCTGCTGGCTAATGCAGCGTGTGTCCGCAGACACAAACGGAGCCCAGCGTGCGCGCACTCGCCGTCCGACTACGTTGTGTTTCCATAGTAGCAGCAAGTAGGAGCTCTTCAGGAGTCGGGAGTATAGTCTCTGGCTGTTTGCGGCTGCTCTGTCTCCTCTGCCGTTGGTCTCTCCTTTCTCCATTCATGTTTACTCTTCCACTTCACCCTCTAACGGCAGCTGTTAGTCATTTAGATGACATTTGTCACATTTTAAATACTCAGGGAATTCACAAGCTATAGATGGAACATTCCCAGCTGCCTCCTTAAGTTGAAATCCAAGTCCCTAAAATATTTTTTCTTATTTGGCTGTGTTTCTTTGTCTCAGCGTGTTTACATAAATATGATGCAGGCAGTCCCTTATTGTGACTGATCTCCCCTGTGTGTGCTTTTCCCTGCTTTGCAGTTCTCTGGAGTGGATACGAATGACACAATAAAAAAAAAAATATATATATATATATATATGTGTGTGTGTATATTGTCTGGCCTTTTTGTAGTTTTTCAGAGAGAAAGATATCAACTAGTTCTTCTCATTACCAGGCTACTGAATGACAAAAGCCATGGCCAGATTTTAGATTCCTGGCTTATAAACTGTGGAATTTGTTTTAATAATTAAAAGGAGAAAGTTGGTGTCTCTTCCGCAGACCTTGGCAGGATTTTTATTTCTCCCTCTGCTTATTAAAGCTCTCTGTGCACACTTTGACAAATTAAGCCGTGTGACAGTTGTGTTCGCACACACCCCTTATCCTGGTACTGCCCCCAGACCTCATGCATGCAGTTACATTTTCAGTTTGACAGTGAAGAACCGTGTGATAATACACACAGGAAGCGTTGCACAGTGCTCTTTCGGCGTGCAAGAAGAGCAGTGGGGCTGAGAAGGGCTCGAACAGGTACTGTGGCAGCAGCTTACCTTGGAACTCACTTTAGATGGCTTGAAAGTAGAAGGGGGAAGGAGAACTGTAAAACAGAACACAAGTTGAAATGCTCTATTTTTACATTTAGTTTAACCCGTAACTCAAGGTGTGTACTTGGTCATTTTCTGTTCCTTTTTAGGGGCTTGTTTCGTTCTAAATGTTAACTACAAATGTGTCGGTTGAGGAGTTACAGTCTTATTGCAGAGGCTGCTATCTTGTTCAGAATACACAAGAGCAGGGCTTTATTCCTTGTGTTTTGCCTTTTCTTTAGAAAACCTGCTGACAGTGGCCCTCGCTTAGTTTGTGTTTCTTTCAGAGTCATGAGGCAGAGCAGGGAAGGAAATATGCTCATCAGCTGCCTAACATACCCATTCTAGTCTGTTTCTGACCTTGGAGCAGTTTTCTACAGTGTTCAAAAACAATTTATATGTAAGGTTTTTACTGGACAAAACTGTATAGACATGTCTCATTTGGTGCTCGTGTCCCCATCTTAATTCTTCCCACTTTTTATCTGGCTGTCGTATCTCACACAGTTTGCTTTGCCGGTTCTACTTCCCTCTTTCACTGGAACCACCCCCTTCAGTAACTGAAGAATAGTTTAGTTTAATCACATCATAATGCGGGTAGGTTGGTCTCAGACAGCTAAACAGGTTCTGTACTGTAAGCCTGTCTAAAGTGGATCTACTGGTTTTATTTGAACAGGTTTCTTTTTTTCTTTCTTTTTTTTTTTAGAAAAGTCAGTCCTTGTTTGTTTTTTTGTGTGTGAGTGAGTGTGTGAGCACATGCTTCTGACGAGTATCTGAGTTGTAAATGTGGACTGAGGGAAAACACTAATCCGGATGCTTTTTGCTGTTATTTGTCCGGCTGTCAAGTTGAGCTAAGGTAACGTGAACACAGACAATTGGTACTGGATTTGCCATGGTTTTCTTTTGCCTCTTACCCACTGACGGTGTGATTATGGCTGCCATTGCGCACGCACACACACACACACACACACACACACACACACACACACTTGAACACTGCCAGCTCTACCTTTGTGTCACAACCAGTAGTCAAACAGCATCCCTGCTGAGCATTCCTGACACATGCACACCGTCTTGGAACTGTTGGAGAAACACGATGCATGAGTAACTCCAAGTAACCTTGTTATCTGTGTTTTTCAGTCAACAGTAATGTGTTTTTCTTTTTCTGTGTGTGTGTTGCCGCTAAGCAGACCAGAATCGGTGGAGGCCAGCCCTGTGGTGGTGGAGAAGTCCAACTACCCGCACCAGATTTACAGCAGCAGTTCTCACCATTCCCACAGTTACATTGGCCTCCCTTACGCTGTGAGTACTACTTTATTAAAATGGAAATAACCTTTACACGCGTCAACCAGAAACAAAGGCTTGTCTTTTATTCAGTTTGCATTAATCTGCACAACACTGAATCAAACCAAAGAAAATGGCTCATTTTACTTCCATGAAATCAACCAGCTGGCACCTTGGCCTAAAGTTTGCTCTGAACTGCAAGCAATCTGCCAGATAAGACAGAAAATGAGGAGTCACCTGTCCTGCATCTCGTTTTCTATCTTGTTGTGATACTGAGAAGGTGTAATTTTCATACACCTGACCTGTACGCTTCCCATCTCTTTATCAGGACCATAATTATGGGGCACGGCCCCCACCTACGCCGCCGGCCTCCCCTCCACCCTCCATGTTGATCCGTCAAGGTGAGGGGGGGCTGTTTGTTCCAGGTGGGCAGGACGAAGCGTCCAGGGGCACCACCCTCAGCACGTCGGAAGATGGCAGCTACGGGGCTGACATCACCCGCTGCATCTGTGGCTTCACCCACGACGACGGCTACATGATCTGCTGCGACAAGTGCAGGTAAGAGGCCGGGTGACACGCAGCGGATGACTCAGCCCTCAGGTGTCCAGACTTATGGTTAATGACTTCCAACAGCGGGTTAAAGGTTTATTTTAAAAAGCCTTTCATTGACTTTCTCAGCGCCTGGCAGCACATCGACTGTATGGGCATTGACAGGCAGAACATTCCTGAGACCTACCTGTGTGAACGCTGCCAACCCCGACATCTAGATAGAGAGAGGGCCTACCTGCTGCAGACCAGGAAAAGAGAATGCTTATCCGGTAAGCAGGTCCACACATATGCACATACGGCAGTCATCCCAGTGCTTTTGATTCTTGCATTAGAGTTTAGATATAAACATCGAGTCCACCTGTAGTTTGAGAACTGGTTGCCTCCCAGTAGTTATGAGTTGTCGATGTTTCCTTTAAGAGTCGGCAGATGGATTTTCAGTTCTGCTTTTTCTGGCTTCTTCGCTACACTTGATTTTTAGCTTCTTGGAGAGCAGTGCAGGTTGTAGGCCATGTCAGGGTGTAGCCTCCGCCCCCTGCAGGCCTGCAACATTTCTTTTTTTCTTTTTCTGAATGGGCTAGGGTCACAGTGCCACCTGCTGGACAAATGGCAAACCACCGTTTAGTCATTTGTTCTGTAACATTCCTCATCTTTCATAATTGTAATCTGGCTTCTTTGTGTTTGGCCAGCAGCTGCTGCAGCTTTTAATAGCTTGGTATGTTGACTCCTTTGTTCCGTGCACTCTGCTAATAAATTGTTGGCTTTCTCAGATGGGGACACCAGCGCTACAGAGAGTGGAGACGAAGTTCCGCTAGAGCTTTACTCCACCTTCCAGCACACGCCTACCACCATCACCCTGACAACTGGGCGCCTTGGAAATAAGCAGGCTGATAAGAAGCGTAAAAAGAGTGGTGAAAAAGAGCCGACGGCATCCTCTGCCCGTGCTAAGAAGGTCAATTTTGAATCACTCAATTATAAAAACTGTGCATAATTTACATCATTATGCTTGAGCTACTTTTCACATTATTTTTAATTTCATTGCTTCCCCTACAGCCCTTCAGAGAGGGATCCAGAAAGTCCTCCAGAGTAAAGGTACAATCAGACAAGTGGCACACATGCACCTTTTGAATACGTATTCATGTAACATTGAGCTCGTAACTTTGAGCCAGACATTACAATTGTACTTTTACATTTTTCCTCTGTCAGGGTGCAGCTCCAGAGCAGGAGCCCGTCGAGCACCCGTCTCTGTGGGAGAGTAAAATCAAGACGTGGATGGAGCGTTACGAGGAGGCCAGCAGCAACCAGTACAGTGAGGACGTTCAGGTCCTGCTGCGCGTTAAAGAGCAAGGCGACGGCAAGAGCCTGGCGTACAACACGCACCCAGCTTCTTTCAAACCCCCAGTTGAGGTATAAACCACTGTCAAATGAAAACCCAGCCAATAGCGATCATACCCAAACAATCCCCAAAGTCTTTTCTCACCTACGTAAGCCACAAGTATACAGCTACAGTTTTTCTTTAGAGGTCTGAATGTAGTTTACTCAGTGTCTATCCAGCGTTTTTCTTTTTTGCTTATGTCAGGCTCTTTCTGTTGTCCAGAGTCAAGTTCAGAAGAACAAGAAAATCCTCAAGGCGGTGCGAGACTTGGCCCCAGACTCCCTCATCATTGAGTACAGGGGAAAGTTCATGCTTCGACAGCAGTTTGAGGCCAACGGATACTTCTTTAAAAGGTCAGGATTCTCATCGACTTGTCCTTGGATTTGTTTTTCAGCTTGTATAATGTCCCCTTTTCCCTCTTTTTTTTTTTTTTTTTTTTTTTTTTACATGTTGTTAATCATTACACTGTAATGTTTTGTGTGAAGTCTCTGTTGCGATTCCTGCACTGACCGTACCTGTTTTCCTTTTCAGGCCGTACCCTTTTGTGTTATTTTATTCTAAATTTGACGGAGTGGAGATGTGCGTAGACGCCCGCAGCTTCGGTAACGAGGCGCGTTTCATTCGACGCTCCTGCACCCCCAACTCAGAAGTATGTCAACTTCCCAGTTTATATTAGCTCCATCCTTTTGTTTTCCACTCGGCTGAGTTTCAGCCTGTAAATGCGGCACCTGTTGGTTTTCCCTGATTGTTTGTGAAACTTCCCTCAGGTGCGACATGTTATCGAGGATGGGATGCTGCATTTATACATCTACTCACTGAGGCCAATCTCCAAGGGCACAGAAATCACGATTGGTTTTGATTTCGACTATGGCAGCTGGTGAGGTCCTCAGCTGTAAATATTGGAAGCAAAAATGCACAATCGTAACGAGGCTGGGCCGTCTCACTGCCTTCCTCACTCTTCTTCTCTTGTCTTTTGTAGTAAATACAAGGTGGACTGTGCCTGCGTGAAGGGGAACCAGGAGTGCCCGGTGCTGAAGCACAACCAAGAGCCAACTGAAAACTTAGGTTCTATAGGCAGACGGAGGGGGAGTCGTAAGGACAAAGAGACGACCCGAGATGAGCAAGGCCAGAACCAGAACGTGGCTGTAGATGGCGAGGGCAAGAGCAAAAACATTGGTGACAGCAAGCAGAGGAAACTCTCTCCTCTCCGCCTCTCCATCTCAAATAACCAGGCAAGACTAAATAGTTGTAAACATCACACATCATGCACCCAGTATCCTCTTGTCTGACGCTAAACTTCCACTTGTTACATTTGATTTTCCGTTTAAGCGCATTCACCTTCATGGTCCATGCTTGTAATTTAATTTGATCAGTGTAAAAATGTCTTTGCATGTAATTTTCCATTATCCACTTTGTTGATGCACATCCTGTCTGGTTCCCTCCTTTTCCCATTCTCCCTTTATGCATTCACATCCGTTACTCCCAAATACTAATTCCAATGGCAAAGTTCAGTTTGCATTACACTAGATACTTGTAATGTCATACACGTGGTAGCGCACAACTCGAGGTGTACAGTCCGAGCTCAGGATTTCTGTTGGAGGTGTCTGCTCCAACAGAGTCTGTGTCTATCGTCCATTCCACTCTAACTATTTGGACTTGCCATACAGCTGCCAGATTTTCAATAAGATTCACTGAGCAGGTTGAACTATATGAAATCTTTTAAGTCAATTAGGAAAAATTTTGCTTTTTTCTTTAGAAATAAGTGTCACACAATTTTATTATTACAGATAAACAAATGGTTTTGAATCAGGGAAGGAGAGAGTACACAGACGGCACACGTCACAGGAGATAAAGCAGCCTCGGCAACATCAAAACAGTACCCCAAACCGGAACAGGCTGTTTTTGTGTACAGATTGAGCATTAAAGACCAATTTAGGCTCCCTTGAATCCTTGAAGGACCCCCCCCCCCCCCCCACATACACACACACACACACACACACAGCCTTTTCTCCCTCTCCCCACCTCCCCCTGCCTCAATTTTTCCCTGTCTCCCTCTAGTCTGTAGTCAGACTGAATGATCAGCCATAATAAAAAGCGCCATACCCCACTCTTCCCTCCTCTTACAGGATCCTGAGTTATTTGAGGATCTAGAAGACAAAACCTCCGTTAGCAATGAAGTAGAGATGGAGTCAGAGGAGCAGATTGCAGAGAGGAGGAGGAAGATGGTAAGTGTGCCAAGCTAGGGCCTAAAGCTTTTTATTTGCTATGCTGCCATCCAGCAGAAAGCGCAAATATAAAGAATGATTTTAAAAACATCCCTATCCGCTGTTGCACTGGGTGTGGACCTAACTTTTTGTCTGCTGAGGGCTTGAATAGGAGCAGCTGTCCTCTGCTTCTCTTCCAACAACCTAGCCTCCTCTTCATCATTCATCACTGCTAGCAATCCCACCACCGTCAGTGTCCCTGTTGCTGCTTTGTTCATTTGCATCGTTTTTTCCCATCCTTCAGCTTTGATTTCCCTCTTCTGTCAGAGCACCAACGCATTGTGCTTGTCTGTCATTAAGTTATGTTCATTTCCCGTATTTATGCCATTTTAACCTATGAGAAAATGAATGGGACTGCAATATGACATGCTTGTAAACAACACCTCCTCCATTAGAGGGGACAAAACTAATTTCTTGTCTCAAAGCAACCATCGAAACCGCCATGTAGTTGGAGTGCAGCTCCCCCCAAACCATCAATTCAGCTGTGGGTTTGAAATGGCCTATCACAGTATCAATCGCTCTCCTCTCCCTCTGCCAAATGGCCTCGTGTCCCTGAGAGGCGAGCACGGTAAACTGACGCACAAATACACACACACACGGGCGCTCTCTGGAAATTACCCTGCAGTCAGCTTCATTTCACATGGTGGACCCAAGGTGCAAACTGCTGACTCATCTTTTGGCAACAGACAGTTCTGCTAAACAGTTATAGAGAGATGAATAGTTAAGGGGAGCGAGTGGGAAGCAAAGAGGGAGAAGTGGGCGGGGCTGCAGAGGACAGAGCCTTGTTGCCAGGGCCCTATCCACTTTGGGAGCTCCAATAGGCTACCCTTTACGAAGCGTGGCTGAGGAGAGAGCTCCGGTGCCAGGATCCAGAAGGTTGCATTCACATATTGACATATTGAGTGTAGAGCATGCGTGCAGATGTTGCAAATCCACGATGCAACAATGTGCCGGGGAGATAACAGGGTTGCATGTCGGCTTAGTGAAGTATACACTTAGGGTTCTTACCAACGGTCCTGTTAGTTTAAAAAGGTGTTGGCTATTTAGGCCCCGGGTAGTCTGAATTTGAGTTTACTCCTGGTTTTTTGTGGTCTGGTAGTGCTTCAGGTCTCAGGACTGTTTCTGGGCTGTTGTGTCAGATCTACAAATTGACTCCATGGCTCTTGTCTCAAGCACATGTTGGCATTATCAGTGCATGAGTGAAGAAGCTTTGTAGTTACTAATTTCTTGTGTAGTCGGACATCACGGCCAACTCTGCCGAACATCTGCAGCGACTTTAAAAAGTATTTTGCACCAACTGAAGGTCAGTCTTTAGTGCCGAGACCCCACCAGTATCTGTGAAGCCTTGTTTAGGGGGGACATGTCTCTTCTAAACTAGGCTGTCTCTTTATTAAACATTCAGGCCAACCCAGCGGAGCAGTCCCATCTCCCTGTCGGGGCGGCTTCAAGCTGGAGGGGACTGAAACTCAAGGAGGTAAACTTGACCCATACATAGCCAACCTCACCCATATACCAGCTCAACAACCACCAAATCTGCTAGTGGTGACTGGTTTGTAAGCGTACTAACTGTCCTGAAAAAACATGTCTCGGTATGTTTGGTGGTATGAGTCTGTTTTAATGGGGTGTTATGACTGACGGTGGAGGTAGCCATGGTTTTCATGCGAGCTCAGGAAATTCTGTGGCACAGATTCCGGAACACTTTCGACAAAATTAGAACCTCCTGGTGACCTGGCCACTTTTTTTTAATCATGCTTACTATATTTTCCTGTTGCTCCTATCTCCTTTCAGTTGCTCTATTGTGAAAGCGAGGGGTCACTGTTTTCCACCTGTCTCTGCGTTAACATCTTTGCACATTAGAGTTGCTTTTGCTGTGTAGCCCCCATTAACCCAAATTGCACTGCCACCTCCGTAACTCTTTGGGGATTGATGTTTTCTTGTCTTGTCTTTTTTTTTTTTTTTTCAACCCTTGTCCTGACCCCTCTGCAGACTCGAGAGGAGAGGAAGATGGAAGCCATCCTGCAGGCCTTTGCTCGAATGGAGAAGAGGGAGAAACGCAGGGAGCAGGCCCTGGAAAGAATTGGTAGCATAAAGTCCGAAGTTGGAGGCCGGAGTGACATTAAGGAGGAGCATCCTGCCACACCAGAAACGGTGGATTCCCCAGCAGTTATGCAGGTGAGGTGGCAAGCTTTCTTAAACTGCTTTCTTTTTGTCCAAGTTGAAGAGTGGAGGGAACGCCAGCAGACATCTAAACCTCACCTTTTAGCACTTTACAAACTCTACTTTCTTTTCGATAGCCCCTTCTGGAGGTAAAGGAGGAGCCGGGTCTAAAGCCAGCCAGGGTGAAACCCTCACGAAACAGGAAAAGTTTCTCAAGGAACCGCACCCACATCGGCCAGCAGCGCAGGCGAGCTCGCACCATCAGCACCTGTTCTGACGTGGCCCCCGGCTCTCCAGCGGAGTCTCTGGAGCCACTGACCAACGAGGCCCCTGAGGGAGAGGCGCCCGCTGTTCCGGAGCCAGAGGCTGTCCCCTCTCAACCCCCAGACAGCAGCCCTCCACAGAGTAGCTCACCTGCACCCGACAGGAACCGCACGGGGAGCAAGAACTTCAAAACTAAAAAGGTTCAAGCACATTTGTAATCCTGTGTAGGAAACGTGTTCCTGCACTGTTGCTTTTTATGCTTTATAGTCTCAAAGCTTAGTTATAGTGGAAAAATACACCCACTTATGAAAAAAAATCAATTATTCATTTATTTTGGTAATGAGATTTCATAACCCCCTAGACTTGCAGGCGATTTACTCTGTCAAAACTCTTTTCAACAGCACTTTGTCAGTGAGTGGGTGGGAGAAAAACAGCAGGACCGCGGCGCCGTGCGGACGCCAGAGCCGGCCCCGGAGAGGCCCCTGAGAATAAGCAGTGACCCCGAAGTGCTCGCTACACAGCTCAACGCCTTACCAGGCATGACCTGCTCCCCTCAGGTCTACAGCACGCCCAAACACTATGTCCGCTTCTCGTCCCCATTCCTGGCCAACCGCAGCCCCACCACCCCCGGAGTCCCCACGGGGAGACGGCGCTCCCGAGAACTGCCAGAGACGCCACCAACCACCGGCTCCTGCAAGAAGGTACAGATTAGCTTCAGGAATTTTTGCCCTAAAACAAGAAGCTTGAATGACTTTGGTCCTTTTGGGAAGTTCCTTTCTCCGTCTGTCCTTAGGTTAATGGTTTGTTACGTCTCTTGCAGCGATGGTTGAAGCAGGCTCTAGAGGAGGAGGGCTCCACCAGCCCAGCCAGACGTCCCAGCCTTCTCATGGCCGCGGATGGCCCTCTCAGCCCCTCCATTAACGGGGACTCTGACAGCCCTCTTCCCTACAATGGCACCTGCTCACTGCCAGGTAGGTTTCTGAGTCCGTCTGATACCCAAATGATCTGTCTGGATGCTGAAAATCTACATTCTGTATGCATTTTGTGCAACATCAAAGAGGAATTCAGACTTTGTAGATAGTGAATTCAGTTGAGCAGAATCTGGAGGTAAATGAATTACAAGAGATGCTCCCTCTGGGCTCAGCTGGTTGAGTGGGCACCCTGTTAACGCATGCTGAGGGTCCTCAATTCGTTCCTTTGTTTCTTTCAGAGTTGCCCACTCCTTTGAAAAAGCGCCGATTGAGCCCGTTAGATGCCTGTTTGTCCGAGAGCTCAACGCCGTACGGCTCACCTTGTGCCACACCCACCCGAGCAGACCAACCGGAGACACCTGCGACACCCATCCTACTGACCACCCCGCCCCGCCCCCGGACCGAGGAGCCAAATGCAGAGCCCGTTCCCAGTACCCCGACACACACACTTAATGCCCACCAGGAGGTAAGTTGGTCTTTTCTGAAATCCAAACGAAGGTCACGCATTTGTTTAGGTATGAAAAGGGGGGTATTTAATCGTGTGTGTGTGTGTGTGTGTGTGTCTGCTGTCACAGAGTGAATCTTCAATGGAGAACTCGCCAGAGGTCATTCGGAAACCCTGTGCGCAAGAGGTGAGCTGGTCATTAACAAAGACCTCATTGTCTATAAGGGCATCTGAAGCCATTTCTTTTGTCATAGTTTTGTCTTTTAGTTAATTTTTTGTGTTCCGGGTGTTTCTTTTCATTGAGACGTGCCGTCATCTGACCTGAGTCTTTTCTCTTCTTTTAAGGCGGAGCGTCCTCCTTCATTGGTCTCCTCCCCCTGCGTCAGGGCTCCCGTTCCAGATGGACTCGTAACAGAAGTGAAGTTGTCAGTTCCTGAGAGTCCACAGCCCCCAGCCGTTGAGTCGGTGGACTGCGGAGAGGACCGGACAGACAATATAATATTGGACGGCACAAATGAGGCTTCCTCATCTGCAGAGACATGCGCTTCCTCTTACTCTGGCTGGATAAAAAGCCCAGAGAGGGGCCCGACTGGACCAGCTGGCCTGAACTTCTCTCCAGTCAACTCTAACTTAAGAGACCTCACCCCCTCTCATACCCTGGAGCCTCTGGCAGCTCCCTTTAGGCCTGAGACTGCAGCTGGGGCTGCAGCGGGAACAGGGTCACTGGCTGGCCCTCAGCCTCCATTTAGCGAAGCCCAGGGGCAGCTTTTTTACCCTGGTTCTGAAGAGGGAAGTTCACTGGGATTTCCACGCTCACTGAATGGAGACGGAGCCAGCGAAGGAGGAGGGTCAGCACAGAACCCTCCACAGAAGAAAAAGGTGAAGCTCCAGCTGCTTTAAACCTTTTTTGAAAACGAAATTGAAACTCCCAAAAACGAAGCTTTTCCTAAACTATTAGGTAACACATTGAGTAGCAGAAAAAACATGTTAGCATTTACTGTGTTTGCATGTTTATGACAATTATGTCACAAACTTCACTGTGGAAGAATTTCAGTAAAAAATTGGATAAAATTCACACCTTTACATGAACTTTAATGTGGATTAAAATAATATAAGGACAGGCACATTTAGCTGTGTAAATGCTGCCTTCTAACGGGTCATTAGACGTGGTCATTAGACGTGGTCATTGATCGCATCGCGGCGGTTCTGCCTCCCAGGTCTCTCTGCTGGAGTACCGGAAGCGTCAGCGTGAAGCCCGACGCAGTGGCTCCAAGACCGAGTGCAGCTCGCCCGTTTCCACCCTGCCCCCTTTGACTGTGGATGCCTTCCCCGTGGCTCTGGAGCCCACCAGCGAGCCTCCTCCGCCTCCGGCTCCCACGGCTTCCTGCAACACCACCAACACTGTAAAGGAGGCGCAGACGAGCGAGGAGGCGGAAGTCGTTGGAGATAAAGGAGAGAAGGAAGGAGGAGAGGGACAATGGTGCGTTTTAGCTTCCTGCATGCTCTGCATCATCCTCCTGAGCAGGGAAAGAACCGTGCCTTGCCTCTTTATGTGGTGTGACTACAGAGCACTGATTGGCTCGTGTCTTCCCCCCCTGTGTGTCTTTAGGACCTCGTCCACTTCTGTGGAGCAGGCCAGAGAGCGCAGCTACCACAGAGCTCTGCTGCTCAGCAAAGATAAAGATACAGGTGAGGGGAGGAGAGAGAGGGGGACATTTTCACACCTTAATCACTTGTTCTTCCTTCTAAAACTATTTTTTGTTGTTTTCTTTTTAGATGGTGAGACGGAGGGCGGAGACACGCCTTCACTCAGAGAGTGTGCATCTCCAGGCCTTCAGAAAACCCCAACCCACACAGTAAGTCTGCTTCAGGTTGGTTGTTTTATTTGACCCCCCCCGTTTTAAGCTTTGGACATGTCTTTGCTGTGACTGATCTCTGACTGTTTCCCACGCAGCCCTGCTCTCCTGGCTCTCTTGCTCAGCCTTCCAGTCGCTCTTCAAAGGAAGAAGATGGTGATGGTCAGCCTTGGACGCCAAACCCGACCAGCCAGCTGCCAAGCAAGCCCGCAGGACCTAAGCAGGGCCCCTTGACCCCCACGAAGCTTCATACCACCCCGCTGCCCTCCTCACCTGTCCACTACCCAGGATCCGCTCTCCTCCATTCTCCCAAGGCTCAGCCCCAGGGCTCACCGTACCGCAGTCAGAGGGCTCTGTTCTCGGGCCAACCACAAACCCAACCTCAGTCCCAGCCTCAGACCGGCCCCGCGCCTTTCCCCCAGTATAACGCACAGAGTGCCCCACCCCCACCTCCCCCTCCACCGCCAGCACCACCCGTTTCCACGGCCTATTTTCCCAGCCAGACCCCATCCCCTGCTGGACCGTTCCCTGGGTTTAAACCCTCCGTCACACCACCCTATCCCCAGGGTTCTCAGGCCCTGATGCAAACTCTGTCTCACAGCGTGCATTATCAAAGCTCAGCCGCTCCACCCCCACCTCCTCCTCCACCTCCACACCCGATATCCGGCCCTACCCTGCTACACGTCAACCTGCAGCCTTCTTCCATTCAACAGCATCCACTGATGCTGACCACAGCCCCTCCTCCACCTCCTCCACCGCAGGGCCAAACCTCCCAACAGCCACAGCAGGCTCCCTCTGGCGGCACCCTCCTGTCCCTCACCCCTCCACCCCCTCCTCCTCCGCCCCCCCCAGCCCCTTCCTCCAGTGCCCCGATGCAGCCCCATCACTATCAGAACTTAGGAGGCTTTCAGCCGGCCTTGCTGCACCCCGGTGCTGGGGCGAACCCTTCAGTACCCCCATCCACATATCCCCCGCCTCTTCAACAGACTGGACTGCCCCCACCTCCCCCCCCTCCTCTCCAACAGACTCAACAAGGCCAGGCCCAGGCCGCTGCCTCCCAGATGCCTTCTGGGACTCGTGGAGCTCCTTCGTCCTCGACCCCCTTCCACAGCTCGGGGTATCTGAGCACAGGGTGGCACTGACCACCCTACATGCTGTTGGCACCCAACAGCCCCTAAGAACTCAGCCTGAGAGGGGCGTGTACCATAAGCTGTAGATACATTTTCTATGTACCTGAACACGTGGCCAGTGGAAAAACAGCTTTTTGTGGGATAAAAGGGTACTTCAAAGACGAGAAAAAAATCAAAACAAGGACAGAAATTTTTAGGAAAAAGGACAGCGAAATAATCTTCAAGACAAACTGTAGTAAAAATGAAGATGGACTATCCTTCTGGTGCTCATAGCCCTCTCTCTGGCCTCTAATTGTTTTTTATAATTTCCTCTCTGTGACTGAGAGGAAAGCTCTGTTCTGTCTTGTTTGGAATCCCGTTGTAAGACCCTGCACTTTGTTTATCAAAGGACATTCCAGCCTATACCCTTGTCTCGCCTCCTTCTCCCCCCTTGTCAGTTATTCCTTATATTTCCTCTTCTCTCTTGTCTGTTGTCAGCTCCGTTTATCGTTTATGTTTTAATCTAGTGGCTCATTATAGCAAAGAGAAAGCTTTTGTATAGAGAAAAAAACACAATTATTTTTTTTATTCCTCTGTCTAACAACAAATATCTGTTCACCGCTGCAGATTCAGGAAAGACCCATTTTGGGGAGCCTGCCTCACTGCCACAGAAGGCAGCACTCGTCTCTGTCTGTGAGTGTGTGTATGTGTGTGTGCGTGCGTATGTGCGGCTGCTTGGAGGCGTAAAGTGTGTGTAAGGTTTTGTGTCACGAGTGCTTTCAGCTCTCTGAGGTAGGCAGAGTGGTCTCACCTACAAGTAGGATGTTAGCGGTTTATTTTTGAATATCAATGGTTATTTGTAGAAAGTGTAATTTAATGTATAGGTGGTTAATTCAGCTTTCACCAGAAACAGGTTGTAAATATTTGCTTCTTTTCTTTTCTATGCTTGTACAATTTGCTCCCATCCCATTTGAAATATGGTTGTAAATATGAACGCTCTTCTTGGCAAAGCTGAATGTTTCTGTGACTGTAGCATTATTTTTATTTTCCCCTATCGACTCTTCAACTTTGTCTTTTTTTTTTTTTAATTATTATTTGTGTGTGAGTGTATGTTTGTGTAGAGGGGAGAGACTCACAGACACTGCACTGGTTGGCTATTTTCATGGTTCATTATAATAAATCACTGTAATGACAGTTTTATACCACGTGTCATGACGTTTGTCTCTGGAGAAATTTGTGCAGCTCACTGCGCCTCTGCTTTTAGGCGAGAAGGCAGCAGATTTTCAAGGACTGCAGGGGCAGGAACAATACCGCGGAGGCATTTTAATAGCTTACAAGTTGACTGTACAATGAAATAACGGTGCAGATATTTCAAAATACATCTTTGAAATTTAATTATATTAATGAACACTAGAGTTCTACCATCCTTGTTGGAGATGAAAGGATTTAAACCTTTAGAAATTGAATACTCTGATAAAGGATCATCTGAATATTCATAGCCTTTTAGTCGCTGAAACAAAAACACTTTAAAGGATGCCAACAGACATCCTAAAACTGTCACATTTTCACACTGAGGAAAAAACAACCTGGTTTGTACCAAAAGTCCACTTTTGAATAAGATGAAGTCACCATATGATTCACAAGACTGCTAGAGACCTAAAATATGCCCATTTAAGGTTTTTTGGAGGTGTATTTTTCTTAATGTGGATCATCTCAATTTTTTTAGTACGTTAATTACAAAAATAAAAATACTGAAGTATGGCACTTATTAGGAATAAATGATATTAAAAATGAATGGATGGATGAAACTTAAAAACAAAAAAAACATTCGGACGTTTCAGTGCCTGTGGACACACCTTAACCACTATAGGTTTGTGTCCCTTTCAGATGACGTCACCTAATGGACCTCTGCCTTCTTTGGGCACATTCGAAAGGCGTCCAAAGTTTAACCTTTCCAATTTCTGGTTACAGTTAAATGAATTCGTGTTAAGAAACTTACCACACAGTCGGGCAGCATATTTCTAAACTGGGAAAACAATGTTTTGCTAGTGCTTGCAAATTCCCTCTCGGATATCATTTTAAGGGTAATTCGGTTGCATAGCAACGAAGTATGACCTCAACTTGGCGATTCAATATACAGGTGGGGTATTTTTTTTTACTGTGCATTTGTTGAATAATTGAACCAAAAGAAACTTTTAGTGCTTATTGTAATTGGTAGAATGTAAAGACTAAAAAGCCCCAGGGGTAGGTTAGGTGTTTCTAAGCATATAAGTCTCAAGTCTATCTTTTGCTAAACAAACAAATTACTCCCAACTAGCCTAGCATAATTCAGTGAAATAATTAACAAAACAGGAAGAGCAAAATCTGTTTTTTCAAAGTGCCTCACCTTGTAATTTATTAACACTTGTAACGTTAGTATCAGGTCCTTTTTTGTGTGCTGTTATCTTTTAATTACTAAGATAGCGAGAAATCATAGCACGGAAATAAGGATAAGTCACAGTAATTTATACCCGTTCAGTTCACCAACAATGTTACTCTCAGATCACAAGATACTCACAGTAATAATCAACAAGTAGCTTGGCATTTCAGAATATACCTTTTTAAAGGCAAGACAAAAGATAGACATATTCAACATGTAGCAATATACATCATATACATCCTATTTAGTGCACTTTTATTTTGACTCATCTCTGCAGTACACACACAAAAAGAAATGCCTACCACTTTATTTAGTCACAATGAAGATTAAGATATAACAAGGTGGTACTGTTCTGTTTGGTTTTCCAACCCTCCATTTCTTCGGTCTTAGTATCTTTGCAGTCACCACTTTTTGTAAACAGGAAGGGGTTTGTCAACATGATAAAAGAGAAGCTCTGACAGCTTTGACCTCCAGTCCTTTAAGTCCTTATTTGTATCTGTCAAAGTCAGGTTAATTTGTTCTGATTTAATTCAATTTGAGTTGTCACCATTCTCTGATGCTTCATTGCAGTGTCCCGAAGCTGATTATGTCTTTTTTTTCCTTCTTTTTTTAGCCGGCCCTGTGAAAGGACAGCATTCCACGCATTTTGATATGAACGGCTCAAGTAAGATGATGCATTAACAAAACAGAAGAACTCTTTTTTTTAGAGAACCCATCCTGCAAATGAGCAGTTATACTCAACTATGAACACTTATTTTACAAAGGGCGCTTTCAAAGAGGCATCCTGGTTTCCAATGCAAGGTTTTGTGGTCTTTTTCAGACCTCCTCCTCTTCTAATCGATCCGATCATTCATAACACAACCGCTCTCCATCCCAGCAACTGATTGGACCAGGAGATGGAAGCTGGATCCTGAAGCGACATCACATCTAGGTTGTAACACCTACAGACATTAAAGATAAAAGAATAAAAAGATTTAAAAAACAGTTTAAAAAAAAATCAACTTAGACTGGTTTCCTAGGTTGTTAGTGTAGCACAAAAACTACTGATTTTACGTTTGGCAAGAGACACAAGAACTCTATAGTGGGTCCATTAGTAGGTCCATAATGGGTCCACCATGTTCCTGTCCAATGTACTTCTTGCACATTTGGAAAGAATGGCCTTTCACTTTGTTGGTTGTTTTTGTCCCATAGATTTAACGTTACATGAGAAAATACTTGATATTTGTTGGACAATTTATCATCACATTTGTCAGTTTCCCCTCAAGCAGCATACCTACCCATGTGTGTGACTGCTTTACAGACTCCTGGGGTTATATCACATTATTTCCGCTCTCTGTTGGGGGGGAAAAGGGACAAGTTAAGTTGAGATGGAGAGGTAAAATGAAGAACCAGCAGATGGCAGCATTTCATAAAATTTCATTCCTGCAGCCTCATTAAAAGTCCACCTCTTCTACATTAGACTTCTAGCTTTGACAGGTGTTACTATTCTCATCACTGAATAACACTTTTTTTTTCTTCTATTGAATGAAACCTCCATTTTAACTTTTGGTTTCATATATTACATCATCCATCTTCCTCCTCGGCTCATTATCTCTTTCTCTTCCAGTCGATTTTCTCTGGTCTTTTAGTTGACAATGGCTTTTTCCTGTGTCATTTGGGTCATACATGCCAACAGGCAGCTGTGTCCTGACTGATAGAGTAGCTGTGATTCATTTAGACAGGCTGGCAACAAGCTGTGTAAACAGCCATTAGTAATTCATGACTCTGTCCAGCATCCTCAGGCCTCAATTAACCCTTGCTATTCATGTGTTTTTCCTCTTGGACACTCATCTTTCTTTCCCTCCTCATCTCCATCCTTCATCTGTATTCTGCTCCCCATCCTCCCTCCATATTGTTTTCAGTCATTCTCTTAAGGTGAGAGTGCGGTTGTCAACTCGCCCAATCAAAATAAGACGAATCTCACAGGCAACAGAAGCAAACAAAAGCAGCGGAGCAGGTGATGTTGAACAGCGGTCTAATCTATGCAAATAAAAACCTTTTGCATGTGGAATCATGCAAGGGAATATTATTTTAATCACAAAGCTGCTTGTTGGATGTGACATTAGGGAGCAGGAATAACTTCATGCTTTTTATGTTTAGTGTCTCATAGAGGAGTTTGATTCAAGAGGAAATACACAGCTGAATTTCAAACAGATCAGAAGTGTGTTTGTAAGTTTAATGTCCTCAGGGTGAATACAAAAAGTCATTTTTACACGACGAGGGCCATTTCTGTGTCATGACTGAGAAAAAGGGTTTGGAAAGAATTATGAAACTAGTGTTTTAAGGAGAATTTGTTTTGACTCATCCTTGAATTCTGTGTTGAATATATACACAAGTGGATAACAATAAAATTGCTGCCAATCTTTTAACTTGCAAGCTTCTAAAGATTTACTTTTGAATAATTTTGTCACTAGTTTTGTCACTGGCAAATATTTAGTTTAGTTTAGCTTCTAATGTAATTAACTGGTGACTACAAAGTCATATGCATCGAAAACCCCTTATGATCCTTTTAAACACTTGTTCAGACAAAAATAATACGTAAGAAGACTGTTTTGTTAGTTTTCTGACTAAACAG